TCAGGTCGGGTCGGGTCGGGTCGTACCCGTGAAGCTTGGTTAGCATTCGGGTTTTGGGTCGGGTGCGGGCCAAGACTTTGAAGAATCAATCGGCTCGGGTTCCGAAAAAGTGGCCCGTGCAGAGCTACTCTTGTATATTATACTCTTGGATGGGGTCTACTCTCGTATATTTTTCTTGGGAAAAAATGAAATCACGCCTTCTTAAGCAGTGGCGGGGGGTAACCCCCCACGATTCTTATAAACTTACACATCCAATTCGGCACAACGGCGTCGGGTCAACGTTGAGCGAGGATTAATTCTTCAACGTAGCAGTGTTGTCGCGACGGTGTGTAAAAGGTGGATTAAATGTAGCCGCAATGTTGAAATTAAACAGTTTAACGTTGCAAATGCGCTCGCGTGTCACGTCGTGCCAGCGTCGAATTGACAACGTTTGGGCATTGCCTTCTCCTTTTCCTGAGAGGAAAGTACTCTTGAAAGTACTCTGAGTACTGTCATCCCACGGAGGGGTCCTTCTGAAGTTGTAACTGCCTTTACTGGATCAGAATCCGAGTTAAGTACTTGAATGACCCAATTCATACCGTCCAGCAAAGGAGTTACGTGCCTGGCATCATCCCCAGATTTTCTCCCATGCAGAAGAAGAGCCAGACACACCCTCACGAGCTGGTTAACACGCCCTGTCATTCTCGATTGAGTCTCAAGAACACGAATCCGCGCGTGCGCCACGTAGTGGGGCAAGAAAATTCGGCACGTTTCCTCGAACCCACTGGTCAGAAGTACCTGGGGAAAAGATCCGGTACTGTAAGAAAAACACAGGGGACTCATTGAAATGGCACGAGGGCAAGAATCGCTAAATCGGCGGTCAGGCGCCAACTCGTGCCGATCGGAAGAACCTATTTTCTGTTGAGATAATGTGAATGTGAGGTTGAATTGAGAATACGATGAAGGCAAATGTACTAGTAGTAAGTCCTTTATTTAACCTCATTTGAGACATCAAACACTGAGGAAATACTGTATTTACGCATGCACACGCACTCGGACGATCCTGCCGTCATTTTCCGCCACTTGCCCAAATAGTAATAATGGCTTTAAGAGTTCTCGGAAGAGTCTATGTGGTGAAGAAGGCAAATGTGGAAAGCGAATATGCATTTAATGGCTTCCAAACGACTTCGCTAATCCATGAGTAGTCTCTATAATGCTGAAAATTCGGGTAATTACGAATTAGCCGATATTTCATTGCTGTTGATATTTCTGATTCTTCGCTGAATTCTCAACGTCAAGCACTTGTCAATGTTGACGCTACGTAGTTGTGCCGAATAAATCCCATTCTTGGACTACCCAGTTTCCATGGAGATCCATGTCAGGTTAGAAAGAGTGAGGATTTTCCCTCCCCTAGGCCCTTACTATCGTCCTTAATATATCCTTATCTTCTCGTCTATTCTTAACTCGCTTAATACAGCCCACCTCCCCTTATACCGGTTTCCCATGGGAACCGTCACCGCCTCCCCCCCCCCCCCCCACCCCCCCCCCTCTCCCTCCTCACAGCAGCATACATCTTGGATGCGCCGTTGTTCCCAGGAGAAGCGCTTGAATAATGCCCTCACCTGTCATTGCTACGTAATACGGGTGCTTTGCTGAGAATAGACGATATATTGTAGCATAAAAAATGCTTCGCTGATCCAAAGAGCAGCAGATATAGGAGATATCACACATCTCGAATGGATTTCGATCCCAAACCGTGTCGATGGGTACAAACTAGGGACGGATTAAAGAGGGGGGGGGGGGGGGGGGGGGGAAATTAAGGTGTAATGGATACAACTCATGGACAGGAATGCATAATGATAACTCATCATTCTCAAAAGGATCTGATGAGGAGTCACAGAAATCCTGAGATAATATTAAACATTCAAAATAAAACTAAGTCCTAACGCAACAATAATGCAATGTTTTAGCACGAAGAATGGAGAAGGGGAGACGGGCTGGCGAAAGAAATCTCGCGTTCGGCATTCATCAAAAAGGCGATAGATTAGGACGAGCTCATAATCAGGACGGCAGCAGTTACCTTCATCGATGAAACAACATTTATCTCGTATGGAACATACAGGAAACACGCGGAGGTGATGAGCTAGAAAGGTTCCATCCCTTGCTCGGGTGCATCTTTCCTAAACCTGCTTTTCTCACTACTTCTCATGTGGAAAATGAGTGAGAGAGAGCCTTGAGAAAAACAAAATGTCCGAGACTAATTGCAGAAAAATGACGTCTTCCTTCATCTCCGTCCCGAGTTCATCGTTTGACGATCGTCGGAGACAGGGGAAGCATCCAGCCAATTAACATTTTCGATGCAGGGCCAATTTAGCTGAATAGGATTTGCATCGGCGTGTCAACCAAATTAGATTGAAATGGAGACGAAAGTGTTGTAACCGATCTTCGAGGTGTCCCAGATGTTTACATCAAGGAAAATACCTCGTGTCGTAAAAAAAGTCCTTTACTTAATTATATCTAACGAGCCACTCAATTATCACATGCGTTATTATCTGTTCCAGGTGCAATCAGCAATGCATCAGTTAACCTATGATGAAAGAGCAACAGTAGTGTAGCTTCTTGTGGAGCCAAAGCAAATAGTCGTTTCATATGCTTCGAAAATTCCTCGAAAATTGGGGGGGGGGCATTTTCTCCGGAAACTCCGGAGGGGCGGGGAGAGGAGGGGCAATTGAGGCGTTCCCTATTCTACGGCAGTCCTCGCTTCATGGTCTTTCAAGGATTAAAGAGTTTGGTGTGAAATTGTAGGTTGGGCCTGGGCGCAAAAATATTGTTGTGACCATGACAGCCCCAGTCTCGAATCTCGGTCTCGCACCGATGAAAACCTTTCCACACGACCTAACGAGAAGCCTACCTCTCTCAAGACGAATGTTTCGGGTTGGAGCGTATCGATCAACTGCTCTGTGACTTGCGGCGGTTTTTTTTTTATCTATGAAGGCACGTAACCAGTTTTGCAAGAGATCCACGAAAAGTAGTCGATACATCTTCACTCAACGAGTTCCCCGGATTTACTGCCCTACAGGTAAAAAAAAAAAGTGATTCCGCACGTGTAGTCACTTGAGGCTTACGCAACGGGAACCGGTTTCCCCCTCCTTCCGCCCCTACAAAGAAATTTCTAACAACCGAGGACGTTCTATCGATGTCCTTACGTTTTGTGAGTGGGTGAGAATTCCAGGGAATTTCCCGTTTGACTTCTCTGGAGCGAAGGCGGGGGGAGGAGGCTGCTCGTGTTCTTTCCGGCGTCATTGCACCGTTTATTTTCAGGCCTCCAAAATCGAAGTTTTGGTTGGGGTTGAGGACCCCCGTGCCGCGTTCGACGGAGGAATCGCGCGAGAGTTGTTGGCAAGGGGACGTGCCAAAAATCCTGCCGCGTGCCAAGAATTTCGGTACCATCGGATCGTCTTTGGATTCGTTAGATCTGCGGATGATCTCTAAATTCATTAGATCTGCGGATGATCTCTAAATTCATTAGATCTGTCTGTCTTCGTCGAAGGCATACACGAACCTTTCGGCCAAAAGCCGATCTCCGCCCTGCATTCCTTCGAGTTGGGGAAACCCGTTTTCGTGTCGCGGGAAGATTCGTCGATCCGCGGGGCCATCGGGTACATCGTTAGCGCAAACAAAAAATGCCAGCGTTCCCAGGAGACGATTCCTAATGTCTTCCAGGATCTCTCTGGGAACGATCGCAAAACCGATCGCTTGTGATTCCCCGGGTCGCCCTAATCTTTCGTCTGGCTCCCTCGAAGATTCCAGATACCGTTGCCTTTCCGCTTTCTTTTCCTGTCTCGCGCACGATCTCTTCCTCTGCGGGTGACCTTAGCCATTTCCTCGTGGGCTCGTAGGATTCGGGAGAAGCCGAACCACCGATATTTTCGGATTCCTCGCGGACCGGTTCTTTAAGGGCCTCGACTACCGCTGGCTCCACGAGCTCGCAACGGCTGCTCTTCGTCAATTACCAAGCCAGGCGTTGCGGATTAGGACCGGAACAGAGCAACGGGAACCCATTAATTGGATGGAGTGTCAGAAGCAATTACGGGTGGGACGTTTACTCGGATCCTGTACTAGCGATGTCTCCCGTGGTTTTGGCTTGCTTAAGCCACCAAGCGTTTCGACATCACTGCACTCTTGCATCAGATGTACTGAAAGGATTTCACTCGCACCGAAAAGATAGGTCTTTCGAACCTGCGCTCTTTGACAGTGGCGTAGCAAAGATCACAGGGGTAGGGGAGGAGGGGAGAGGAGGGGAGAGGAGGGGGAGGAGGGGAGAGGAGGGGGAGGAGAGGGGGGATAAGGAGGAGAGGGGGGATAAGGAGGAGAGGGGGGATAAGGAGGAGAGGGGGGATAAGGAGGCAAAGATAAGGCAGGACTGACAGGTCCGTAAAGGCTGCAGTTTCAATTATGGTCACTACTTGAGCCACTTCGTGGACTCACGCTTGCTCGAATAAAAAGCACGGTTGAAAATTTTTAAATACTTGTATTTTATTGACTGTATTGGGCTAATCTAACAACTACTTAACTGAAAGTTTCAGTTAAGTTAGATAAACGGAAAATTGGACTCGACTCATCGCCTGATAATTAGGTTAGCATTCTCATATTTTCAGTGAAATACCGAATGCCATTGATTTCGTTCGCGCAGGAGGCACCAAACGCTTTTAGTCCAGGATATTGAATCTCGTCCATTGCCCAACCTGGCTCTACGATTTTCGTAGCTTCGTCGAGTGCATTCGCTTTCGTGCGGCTGGACGGTACAAACGCGGCAACCGAGTTCACTTACCTGGTTCATATTTCGAGTGGAGCAGAGGATTAGACTATTCACCCTTGTCCTTCCTAATTCTCTTGTATTTTCCGCTCTTTTCATTTTGTATCAACTAAACCCACAACTTAAAATCTCCTATCGCTCAAATTAATACTCCTCGAGCATAAATTGACGAGGGCCTTACGCACCGACAGGTCAGCCCAGAGGTTTACAGAGGCCCAGGTATAGACGGGGATAGCTGGATGGCTTTTGGGATCGTGGCATTGGGTCTCACTGGAGGCTCGGAGTAGATTGTCCCCGATGCCCTCCCTCCCTCTGGGTGGGCCTGCGCACCGGAAGAACTGGATATGTTAGGGTCAGGGAGTTCAGAAAAGGAAGTCGATGGTTGTATCGCCCTTCTTTTCTGCAATTCATACCGATCAACAACTTGGAGTTCGTGACACTTGCCCGTAGTCTTGGTTCCTTTCCTCTAGAACAGGGGTTCCCAAACCCTGGGTCGCGACCCAGGGTTTTGATGTTGAATTTTGAGTCGTGACCAAAAAAGTTTGGGAACCACAGCTCTAGAACCTAACATAGAACTCCATAGGAGGGTTGAATGGAGGTCCCTCGGGTGGGGTGGTAGGTTTGGTGTACCTGCATGAACCCCCGTCTATGAGCTCAGTGTCCATTCACATTAACGTCAATAGTGCCACAAGATAAATTTATTTTGCTTCAGAGAGGTGATGCAAAATAGTTTCACAAAAGGCTGGAATTGTTTTATTAGGCAAGCCGATGGAAGACATGTTCCTTCATTCCCTCTGACAATGAATATTTACCTCATACAGTACACTGTCCAGGCAATGAAAGAATATTGTGGGTACCTTGAGCTTGTGTCTCTAAACAAATCTATCACACATAAATGGGTCAAGCACATATTCACAAGAACATGCCCCATATATAACACTCTTCTGAAGAAAATGCCCGGACACACTGTACAAACAATCAGCTCAACGACTTGACTTTTGAGTCCATGTCAAGGTTTCCTGCATAGTTCAATGGCAGAGCATTTAAGCTGCCAAAACAGCAATGAAGACAGAGCAAAATTCAGCAAAAAGATGATGGAGTGTAGAAAAGTACCAAAGGCAGCATTTAGTTTGCACAGCAAGAATGGAAACAGGATGGAATGAATCATCACAGAGCTTTTTTTTGCTGCCATACATGGAAGCCTAAGGCACAAGGATCTTCTTTCAATGGAAGTTGGTCATGATAAAAAGTTTGTTCCTGAATAAATTGTCTCAAAAGTAGCATCAGTCTGCCTCCTACCTCACTTGTTTCTCCATGAGAAAGTTCACTACAACCAATGCAACATCTTTGTGGTCATAGCATCTGAAAAAAAGTAAGTTAACAGATAGATGCACATGAAGATCAGACAGTACAATTAATGATCTCTTATTCAAAAGGTCCATTGCAAAAAATTCAATCAGGTGCATAATGCTGCAGATCAAATTATTGTTGACTGTTACAGCTTTTTGATCTTGCACTTGTATGGAGGAAGAGGAGCTGTGTACAATATGCAGAGTCCCATCTCCCTAGCTCGAACCTGAAGGTAGTTCATCTGAGATTTGGTTAGAAGATCTGGGAATTCTGCTTCTGCCTTCTGAGCATCTTCAAAGAGATCTGAGATAAAGTGGGCAACTTCTTCCACAAACACAGGTGAAACAGTCTTCTGGAGATCTTCTTCCGATTTCTGGATTGCTTCCAGGCCAGGGTCCAGCCAAGAGCACTGCTCCAGCTCCTTCTAAAGCAGCACAAACAGTATTTCTACATGAACATTTTTGTATCCTATATTCCTTATCCTAATGATTCCTGCACATTTTACCTCTACAATGACTGCAGGATTGCCTGCAGGGCTTATATGTAACGGCTGTATCATGGCAACTTGCCTCTAGTTCTGCATCCATGGTTGCTTCATCCATCAGATCGCTTCCATCCACCATTTCCCCTTTCTGAAGGACATGTTCTAGTGACTCTCCAACAACATGCTTCTGAATATTACCCAGAGATTCTTGTGATTGGTGATTGAGGTCTTGCCCTGAATTTTGGGTTTTCTTGCGATTTTCTTGATCAGCAGTGGACCTCTCATTCTGAGAACCCTCCTGTTGAGCATCTGACTGGCTTGCTGCAGGCTGGGGCTTTATTCGAGTCAAGTTGCAAGTTTCTGAATTATCTCCTACCCAAGCACAAGTGTCTTGTATTTCACATGAATTGGAGCTCCTTTTGTTGAATGCAGGGGAAGAATACTTTGGCCTAGCTCCTGTTCTTGCATAGTTGAGATTGTCATCTGGTGCCAATGGACGGACATTGAGCATCCTCTCACATCTGAGCTTCTCAGCTACACGAGCACGCTCTTCAGCCTCTTTAAGTCGCCGAAATTCCTCCTTGATCTCCTCATTTCCCGGATCCAGCTCTTCTGCACGACGAAGCTTACGACGTGCATTGGGGAATTCACCTAACAATCTCAATGCTTGAGCCCATCTGCAATACCAATAAAGTCTTGAAAAGAATCCAAAGGCAAGTATGGAATGACATGCAATAAAAGCCTTGCAGACCTGAAATGGTTCTTGCAGTTCCTCACATCCAAAAGATGGACATTCTTACAAGCCTGAATGCATAATGTGGGGTGACCAAGTTTAAAGTGGCACAGGGCTTCATTGAGATAAAGCTTCACCAGCTCTGCATTTTTCTTTTTCTCTTCCTCCTCATCTTTAACCCAGCAGTTTTCCAGGTTCCTTAAAGCTTTCTTGTACCTGAGGAAAAATTGATAGATGGATGGGAGTAAATCCTGGATTATTCATTAATGGATCTAAAATTGGGGCTCACTTTCCCACAGCTCCCCGGAAGTCATTTTCCCTAAAAAGTTGTGTTCCCTGACGTTTGTCTCTCTTGATTATCTTGGCAATAAATGCAAAACCAGCACTTCGTCTCTCTTCTGCTGACATATCTGCCATTGTAGCCTCCTCATCTTCAAGGAAGTGTAACAACTCCACGCAGAACAATAACATTGCCTCTATGAATTGAATGAAAGAACAAAAACCACATTGAGTCCTGCATTGAGCAAAAAGGAAATATGAGAAACACAGTCACTGGATGCATGTTAATAACATAGGTGACACCTTTTACCCGAAGGGATGCGAGGTGGGCAGCCCTTCTTCCCAAAAGCATACTTATGATGGATGAGGAACTGGGACTTTTCACCTTTCCTCATGCTTCCAACAGCAAGCTCAAGACCAGGAATTACCTTTTGGGTGCCCAGTCGGAATCCCTCCATCTACCAGAAAAATCATCACAATTGCCATTGCAGAGGAACAGTATGGGCTAATGAATCTGACTTTTCCTTACTTTCCCCCGAAGGTAGGTTGAATCCACTGGCTCACCAGAGTATTCTATATATGCATCAAAATGAATTTTCACAAATGCCCTTTCAGGGACCACAACTCCTGATCCTGATTTCAGGTTCTGTGGCAGAAGAAAGGCTTTGATAACCTGCACTGCAATCTCATAAAGATTAACAATGGAGGATACATGCATCTATAATAAGAAAATGCAAAGAACAGAACCTTTTTAAGAACACCTCCATCCCCAGTAAGATCATACATTTGCACAGCCAATTGCTCAAATGGAGACTTCCCATCATCTTCACTGGAGTTCCCACCTCCGAAACCCAAGGATTCCAGATTGACATGATCCAACATGCGTGGGTCTTTCACGTAGGAGGCTTCGATCTGGGCATCAGTTACATCAGCTTCGAAAACTATACCCTCTTTTTCCTTCAATTCGGATACACCCTTAGTGATTTGCCTTCAAGATATAGGGCAATCAGCACATGTAATTAAAGTGTATATTCAATACAAGCATAATGCTCAGTGCCAGAAGCTCACGAGATTTCATCCTTGGTCCAGGGATCCTCAAATTTGGCTGGGTCAAATTCATCATCAGTTTCTTCTCCATCTGAGGCCAATGAGGTATTGGGACTAATGGAGTCACCCTCCAGGTCCTCAAATGTCCTGATGTTCTTGGACATCACTTCAGTGGAAGATTTCACTGGCATTGCCTTTATTCTGTCTCCCCCACCTGCAACTCACATATAATATATGCACAAAAGTTGACAAGACAATATAATAAAGCACTATTTGCATGAATAGGAGCTGAAGAAAATGAATGCTGGACAATTCAAACTTTAATCAGATGACTTTTATTCCAAATAATGCTCTTGACATTTTAAAACAGCTGGATGGCCTACAATTCAGAGAAAAATGCAAAAATCACGATACATGCAATACGAGCTCTATGTGGAACCAATGACTAATAATGGGAATGAGAAAATCAGGCGAGGCCAAAGTGGCTTCACACACTGAAGTAAAATGTGTGTGACCTGGCTCTAGAAGGTATTCAAAGAGGCCTATGAAAGACAAATGGAAGCCTTCCATGGACAGAAAATAATATATTACTTTCACTTCCTTTCCAGTCATTCATGAATTTTCTACCATCACATTTCAATGCTTCAAGATTAAATAATTTTTTCTTGTAAGAAGCACAATCAACTGAACACATGGCAAAAAGAAAAACTGTCCACTTAAATCATAAAAAATTTGAGAATTAAGGTGTAATGGATACAACTCATGGACAGGAATGCATAATGATAACTCATCATTCTCAAAAGGATCTGATGAGGAGTCACAGAAATCCTGAGATAATATTAAACATTCAAAATTGGCAACAGAAACATGAATCAATATCTTCATATATTTTAAATAGTAGGGACAGTACTGTTCTCAATTAAAGATGTTTATTTTTTGTTTGCCGAATATGACAAAGTCAAATGGGATCCTGTGGTGCATTTGACAGTATACAACATATACCCAAATAAAATTTTTGCATAGTAGGACATGCTTAAATCTGCACTTGGAAAATAATGGGTACATGTAAGTATACAATTGTGAGGTCAGAAAACTTCAGACCTTTTCAGTTCACTTCAATTATTGGCTGATCAATCAGGATGCATGTTAGTAGCTGTAGCTGATTTTTGTGTGCAACTTGATAACACCTATAATATTTCAATGATATGCTGACAACCTTCCAGGAGTGGCATTGAGAATTATATGAATGAAAAAAGCCCATGACATTTTTCAGTAGTTTGGGAATTCCTCTAAATGATTACATTTAACATGGAAGCCTTCCATGGGGCATACTGAGGCAATTACACCTCCCCCATATGTCATGAACTTAACATTAAAGGAGGTAGCATAAGCATGGTAGTTTCTAGCAGCAAAAGCTTATTGAAGATACACTCATTCTGCCTTTTATTTTGGGGGTCTGCTGCCATCCTTCTCTTGTATAATGCCCTCCCCTGGCTGATGAAAGCCTCCATGTGTTGCCATATCAAAAATGTGAATTCATAATGTAAATCCTTTTCTAAACTACACAGCATACCAGGTTCAGAATTTAAATATACACCAGTGCTGGTATCCCATAAACAATCCTTGATTGACAAAATAAACTTCGGATTTCTCAATGATTGAGTTTTCAAAATGTGGATACAATTTTTTACCAACTCACCATATGAGCAACACAAAGCTCTTTGCAGCCCCAAAGGATTGGCAGGTCAAGGTCATGCACAAAAGACCATGAAAATATCCTTCCAGATGTATTTTTCTTGTTCTTTTCCCCCCTCTGTGTATCCATATTTTGTGCTTCTGTATTATGTATTTATATATATACTGCACAGGTAGAAGATTTGTATTTGTGAACTGACTTGCATTTTGTGCTCCCAATGAAACAGGAAAGAATAAAATTTGAATTCACAGGATATCCCAGGATGAAGAAAGGAATTTGAACAATAGAGAAGCTCATAAGTGAAGTTCCTTTGGCTATGTATTGGCCAGTTTCACTGAAAATGGACCTGCAAGAAGGTAGAGAGGTAGAGGAGTAGGACCCATCAAATTAGGCACCCTTGCTACCTGGATACCCTTGCTACCATTATTCATTACTTCTTATGAATGTCATAAGAGCCCAGGCAAAGTTAGAGAATGGAAAAGTCACTAGGGATGAAAGAATTTTCAATAAATATTGTACATTAATCCATCCCAAAAATATAAATAGGCCAATTCTTTAAAATTATCATTCATGCATAATTGTCCATCAGATCATTCAATACTTCAGTCATGGTAAATCTTGGGAAACAAAGGAGCAAAAAATCAAAAGACTTCAATGCAAAATCTTAATGAAAATATAGTAAAAAATAAGAAAAATTGCGAGGAATCAGTCACATCAGTATCATACAGTCAGATCAAAGCTTGAAAGGGAAGCCAGTGTAATAAATATTATTATACCATCACCAATTGAAGAAAATATAGTGGTGGGTGATTTTTTTCTCTTGATTCAAAAACTACACAATGCATAGAGTTTATGCATGCTGTGTTGGTGGTAACTGCATCAGTCTATGTAAGTGTTTCTGCATCTTTTGGCAATCAGAAGAATCACTACCTCCATTCTAGCTCAGTTAAAAAATTAACCCGGTGTCTACTCTTTTAAATTCTGGATGATGACTCAATGAAGGATGCATGGAGTCAATGACAGAAGGTTCCGTACAGGAAATTATCACAGTGGACCACAAAGTACATTTTGAAGTTTGCCATGGATGGAATGAATGGAAGTTTGAATAAAAGAGCAGAGAAAGTAAAAGAGAGCAGCAGTCCCATAAAGAAAACTGGCACAAAAAATTGCATGTCTTAAAGATCTAAGCATAATCCAAAGGGTGAAAAACAACATTAACAAAGGAAAATGTGACAGAGCTTTGGTAAAGATAAGAGTAATTGTTGGACTAGTAACATACATACACCCATCACCTATGTCTCACACTGGGTGAATCTTGAGAAAAAAAAAGCAGTCTCATTCAGTGATTTGAATAATATATGCTTGAAATGAGCCAGAGAATGCTCCAAGGATGATCAGATTCGCTGTATCTCAAACAGCTTGACATTTGTCTCATACCAGATGGGTGGATCCATATTCCTGGAAGAGAAAATTTCAACAACATCAATTTTGATAGATAGAAGATAGAATACATATTTCATGTATTAAAGATGGAGTCAACTACACTGAACAGTGAAAGCTGCATCATACCTGAGGTAAATGATACCCCAGATGTAGGTTCGGAACCAATTGGTGGTCCCAGAGTTAGCCTGGTACTTGCGAATGAGGATGGGATGAGGAACTGGAAGAAGACCAACAAGGGTTCCATGCTGCAGGAATCTCAAAATCTCAGACTCATCAGTCAGTCCCCTTCAATGGGAGGAGAAAATCAACAAGGAATGATTGCACACATGTTAAAAGCAGTATAGGAAAGAGAGGATGTTATGGGGAAGAGCATACTTGTCAATGCAGATCTTCTCAACTTGGGGAACCAGAACCTGCAGGAGACGCATGATGGTTTGTAGAGGGAGTTTTTGTTTCCATGAGGCAACCCACTCTGGATTGGGTTTCCATCCCTCTTTTGGTGTTGCTGCTCCACTTCCAGTCTCTTCTCGAGGAGGCAATTCATCCTCTGAGTGAGATGAGGCCGACTGACCTGTCGACTGCTGTACACATAAGCCAAATCAAGGTCTTTGCCCTCTTTTATCAGGATATCATTATGCTGAACTAGCATAAAAGCTTACATGAGTCCTTTTTTCAAAAGGTACAGTGTCAGAGTCAAGGGAGTTGGAGCGAGAGCGATGGGGGGGCTGAACACCCTGAGGGGTTGAGAATCCATGTGTGGGAGGATCCATAGAAGGAATGGGCCCACCCCCATGCTCCTGTTCAGCAGATGTCAACTGCATTGAGAGGTTCTCCAGTGCCTGGGATGATGGATGAGCACTTTCTTGCTCTGTCATCTTGTCAATCCCTATGGAACAATTATGGGAGAAATTATACATTTTTTTTCCTTTTCATTTTCTTGATCCCCTCCTCACACCTTAGAGCAGCAGTTCCCAAACTGTGGGTCATGACCCACTGGTGGATTGTGTACATTTTCCCAGTATTAAAAATAGCTATATCCACATCTGTTCAGGATAATACATGCCCTGGAAAAAAGGTCTATCAGTTTTCTACACTTTATAATTTCTTTGAAAATACCTAGTTCTGGATTCTGGTGGGTTGTGAAATTTTTTGTACATCAGCAAGTGGGTCATGATTCAAAGATGTCTGGGAACTGCTGCCTTAGAGAGCCTACCTGGAGTAGCAGCAAGAGTAGCCTTCAGGGTTCCAGGCTCTGCAGGCATCGCAGGACGACTTCCTTCCATTGAAGGGGACTCAAGCAGAGAAGCTGGATTTGACTGCACACTAGAGGATGAATTGCTTCTCTTCTTTTCCTTGGTGGTTCTCTTATTCAGACTCTTCTGGATCGAGCTTGAATCTGTAGCCAAGTTTGCCAACTGATGAAAGACAGCCCTCTTTCGAATCAGAGTATAAACAAGGTTTGAGTTCCCTGTAAATATTCCACCAAGTTCAAATGAAATCACCATCCATGAAATAAAAATGAGTTCATCTCAAAAAAACAATAAATATACCATCAAATTGATATTGAATGATGTTGTTGAAGATTTCAAGAAGAAAGAAAATGAGGTGATGATGGTTCGGAGCTGAGAAGAGGAACCAGGGAGTACTGAATGCTTCCAGTAGGTGTAAGAGCTTTGTGCTAGCTACCATTGACAAGGTCTTCAGATATGGAGACACTAGAAAATAATTGAAAGGAATAATTTTAAATGCAGTTTCCAAGTTTTCATGATGAAGAAAACTGCCCTTAAGAATATGGACAACATTTGACATAAACATACTATTGACCACAATGGTGGGCAGCAGAACATACCATTGACAAGAATGGTGAGGAGACAATCAAAGAGAGGTTGTAGCCTTGCATGTCCTGTTGTGATGATTTTATGGAATACAATCACCAGAAGATCTGCATGAGTTCCAGTGAAGACAGGAATATCCATTGGAATGCTTGCTGTATAGGGTTTATTCAGTCTCACACCAAAATTCCTCTCTCCACTCAACAGTAACAAGATGAAAACTCCAATATGCATCAGTCCCACACGAGCTGCAATAGGATCACATTTGAAATATGTTGACCCATGTTGACTCCCTGAGATGGCAATTGTGGAAACCAAAGAACAGAAATGGAATGATGACAATATCAACCTCCATACAAATTCTAATAGTAATTGGCAAACCCCAAGCAAATATGAAAACTCTCTGTCCCAATAATCTGGCAAATTTGGCAAGCATAAACCTCAGACTTCCAATCACTTCCATACCCTTAATAAAGCCATTTCTTCCATTGCCAACTGGATCAACATCCATGAATGGTTAGCATGAGGGCTATAATGCTGTCATGTTGCTGTTTGTAGCTAAGAATAAGCACTTGGTGAAAAGAAATATAAACAAAAATTTTATAACAATTCCCATTCTTTGTTACTTTAAATTCAGTAATCCTATATGTGGATGGGACCCCATAGAGTGGTAGGAAAAGCAGCTTGTGGGGCATTAAAGATCACTGTCTATGGGATTTGAAAGCTGACCATTCAATCCCACCCTCAGCTTGAGAGGGAGTCAGAGTAAAATGCAATAGGTAAATTGCTCTTATGCCACTGGGAAGGCAAGGCTACCGCAGGGTATGAAAAAAGTATTAAAAAAACTTTAACCTCAATATCTTTGGCCTGATTGGAGCTGTTTCCATGAAACACATAATATGCAAAGATATACAGGGAGTCCCAGAAACCCTGCCTCAAGTTTTGTACAATATTATGTCTTTTTTTTCTGATGGAAATGAGTTTTGTATCATTCAAAAGCCTAGACTTTTCTTAACAACTATTAACAACTGCTGTTAAACCTGCTTGTCTGTGATTACTGGTAGTGGGGTTTTTTGAAAGAGAAGGTGTATAATACCAAACCCCTAATATCCCAGACCTCATCAGTGCCATTGCCACCAAACTGAATGCCATAAGCTTGGACACGTGCCAGAAAGCAGTAGATGACTTTCCCAGTGATGCCGTATGTGTCATGATCAGAATGGGAACCAATTTCAGTGACAAAAAGATTGAATCCCTGCATCCCAAAAACCCTGCCCCCAGTTTGGATGGAGACTAAGACTAAGTGAATAGCACTGATACCACTTGTAACTTTTCTATTTCTGTACATCTAAAAACAGCAAATAAAAAAATTTTTGTGCCTCAATGTGAGTGTCGCTTTGGTGACCAACTTTGGCTATTTTAATATGAATCCTTCTCTGCCTAAAAATGGCTTGAGGTTCAAAAAATTTTCTGGCTGACCACGAGCCAGATATGATCCAAGAATACGAATGACCCCCATACAACGAGCCAGATATGATCCAAGAATACGAATGACCCCCATACAACTGACTATAACCAAATGGATTACTGTATGTGAAGTCTGCTGGAAGCAAGTGCCCATAAACTAAATCCAGCAACCTGAACTAGTTAAGGTTGGTGCCCAAAGAAGAGTGAAACCATGTCCATCCAGTGCAATCAATTGGCAGACTCAAAGATTCAAGGTTGCCTTCACAAGAACGGGAACACCTCAAAAATATTTTGTGAATAGTTACTGTGAGCTCTTGTGTCTTGTTGAGATTCAATTGATTCCATGAGAAGTTATTAGTACAGGAAATACAAGACTTTAATTTGGTGTGAATATTTATGGCCCACCCTGTAAACTTAGAATTAGCCAAGGGGATAAACAAAGCATATTTCAGCATTAATATCATTTTCCAGTTGCGAGGCTATGTGGAGATAGAAGTGATGTAATTATACTAGGTAGGCTGCATGGCTAAATAAGCATGACAAAACCTGTAATTTAGTCCCATTCATGTGACGTCAAAATGAAGAAAAACAATACAGAATTAGTCAAAATTGCAGATTCTTCTATGAGGAGAATGCTTGAATGTGGCAAAAGTTAACATATACTAGTATAAAGTGTACATTTAGTATTATTAGTTTCATTTTGTTTCAACATGATATGGGGAAGAACATCACCTTCATAGACATAACTGAGATACCAATGAATAAATCCTTTCCAACCATCACTTTACCTTGTACAATTCCTTGCATTAACTGTTGAGTATTTTCAACTTATGAGGTTGAATATACAGCAACTTTCATACCTGAATGATTCTAAGAAAATCTTTTTCAAGATATCTCCATACAAAGAAGAATACAACTCACACTGATCAGCTCTGGAATCATTGAGATGATACAGAATGGGAACAAGGATTTCCAGAACCTCACTGCTCTTCAACACATAATAGAGGAATTTCTGGAAAAGGGATAAGATATAACTTTGTGAAGTTAAATCAGAGAGAAGGAATCAATATAGGACTGCTGACAGATGACACACCTTGTTGTATTCACAACATTTCCAGAAAAGAACAAGCAGCTCCTGGTGGAAATTGACTTTCTTAATTGAATGAGGGAGATAAGTCTGTGTAAGGGGGTTGTTCAGCAGCCGAGTGAACCCTCGAAGCATGAAGGCAAAATCCTCTTCTCGGTGAATACGAGAAAGGTAATTGATGAACAGATTATCTACATGATGAGTCTCCTGCAAAGCAAAAGGAAGTCAACCTTAGGTAAATATCTTAGTTCCTCTTCTGAAGCATTTTCCTCAATTCATAAACAGTGACTTCTTAATCAGTTTTTTTTTTTGGAGAAACTCTGAAAAGACCATTTCACTTCCTCATTACCAGAATGGCCAGTGAATGCCAAAATGGCAATATTGAAGATCTTACTTTTGTAAAACTCTGATTTTCTGAATGTATCTGGTGCTATAAAAAAAAAAAAAACCCTTAAGAAAGTCTTAAATATTTTGCACCTGTGGTGGTTGAATTCTCCCCATTATGAAATGAAAAAAAAGAGATATATATCAATGCCAGAACCAGAACTATATTAATGGAACTATGTTGAAACAGTCCAAGTTGCTGATGAGGGCAAATGCATGGATGAAAGCTTACATCCTCAGTCTCAGCTTCACTGTTGGAAGAGTCCACATCCAAAGTAACTATCAGAAGTTGAAGAGCAATATCTACAAGAGGTTCTCGATGATCAGTGAAGAGTAGATGATTATAAGGTACGCCCATGCCTGCTGGATTGTATGAACAGACAGTGTTCAAGAGGGATGTGAAGAGGGGTAGGGCATGACGATTCTCTGTTGAAGTGAAGTAGCGAACCCAACGGCTTGGCCTTGTGGATGCTTCCTCTATTAAGAGAAATGAGAGCATGACAAACATGGATGTACAGCAGAACTGTCTCTGAGGGGAGACTCAATCAATTACTGACCATTAGGATGGAAGTACATGGTTTCACTGAAGCAGGTGAGGAGCAGTCTAAGAATCTCTGTCCTGTTCAAGTCATGCTGTGGATTATGGGGAGGAGGTGTTGCAAAACCGACTCCTGCTTCCCAAATGTATTCACAGCTATCAATTGAATGCAGATCTTCATGGCGATCCTGAAAAATTCATTAATGATTTCAAATACCATTTACATGTAAATTTGCAGAATACTCATCAACATCTAGAGGCAGATGGACTCACTGGTCCTCCTTTCTTGGTTGATGCCACTGTGAAATCAGGACAGAACAGCAAATCCTAAAATAAAAACATGCCTCTTGATGTAAGATTGCCTGACAATAGCCATGCTTTGGTCATTGAATGGGAAGTAACAACATAATATTTTTGTTGATGTCCACTCTTCAGCTGCATGAAGGTATCAATATCTAATATTTGCTATTCATATCTAAGCTTCCTTTTTAGGGTGAACATTTTTTTAAACACAAAATGCATGAGCAGCTTCACATATGCATTTATGTCTCTCATGGTAGACATCTCAATTGGGAACCTCTACAGGAAAATGATGCCCTTGTGAACTGCTGGGAGTTTCTCAATAATAATAATAATAAATATTCTCTTTGACAGGACTAATATTGATTTACATACAAAATACAGTAAATATTACCTGACACTTGATGCCAATAAAATATTGCAGCTCATCATTAGCAATGAGAATAGCTTACAGAAAGGGTGAGGAGGAGAGACTCTGCCAGAAGAAGATTGTCATCTTTTCCTTCTTGACTGGGGAGTCTGGACCAGAAATAATTGCTCCACTCTGGGTCCTCAAATATGTATGGGAGTAATCTCATCAGAATCCTCACACAGTTCAGCACTAATTGCAAAAGAGAAATAATCAAAAAGTTACACAAATGATTCTAAAATGCCTCTGATAGGAATGAAGGGGTAAAAGATCATACCAGCTAGCTGTTCCTGGTGAGTGGTAACACTACAGGAATCTACAGCTTTGACGAGTTTTTCCACTGCCTTATAACACAATGTAGCCAAGTTACTGGGAGTCTCTTCCCTGAGGGTCCTAATCTCAGTTGATGGGACATGGGTAAAGAAGTCAGCAGGGATTGTGTCTTGATCACACCAAAACTGTTCCCAGAATGCATCATCACTGGGGTCCACAGGCTGCAGAATGCAAAATGGTCATTAGAATGCTTGGAAGAGTTTTAATGGGTTATAAAAGCAAAACTTACCTGGCGTTTCTGTGTCAGCTGAATGACAGCATTTCGAAAGCTGTGCTTAGAATCTGCATTTCCCATTCCTTCACAAAAAACAGGCAAAATCCTTGCTTGGCTCACCTGTTTTTTCTTTTATAATTGTGCCAAGGTGAAGTCAAAGAAATGGATATTTATGTTGTTAGTAACACTTTCTATACAGCTTAGGCTTCCTTTTCCATCCTGTCTGACAGCCTTTTGGATAGCAACTGTAGCTTTTTTCAGGAATTAAATACTCTTTAGATTGCCTTCCAATGAAACTTCTGACAGGAGTTTTGATGCCAGCAAGAGCAAAGTCTAACATAAGTAATCCTTTCCCTTTGCATTTTTGGATGGGATTTCCAATGCTCAACCACAATGAAATCCCATATATGAGCATTCCAGTTTCAGCTTAAGAACCAGCATGCACAGAAAAAAATAGTAGTTCTATCTTGCTAAAAGATTCAACAGAAAAAGGAATTGGAGACTTCTTTTTCTTTTTCAAGGGGGGAATCCCCCTAGAAACCCTCTCCATAAAACCTATAATTAAATTCTCCTATTCATCCCAATGCAGTTATTTCATAGCTCCTGTTTACACAAATTCTTTGGTCCCTTGGGGCATTCTTTCTGTAAATCCAGACTTGCAAGTAAAAGACAAAGGTTTTTACCACATAAACATTTTTCTTGCATCTCTGCTCCTCCCTTTTACTTGAACCAGGATTGCTCCTTTCAGAGACTTCAACTTAGCAGTAATCTCCCTCAATTTGGGTCAGTCTCATCCATCCTTGTCTTTAGGACCTTAAGAAGTTAGTAGTTTTGAAGCACTCAAAGATGAACAGTTGAGGTAGGCCTAATAAGTGATTTGAAGGTGCCAACACTGACAGTCTCAGACATGAAAAAGTGCCATGATAAACTTGAACTGGATGTTGTCAGGCCTGGTGCCCCTCTTTCACAGGAACATGTGCTCATTGTTGGGAGCACAGAGGAGCATGGAACCCTGCTGTCCCAGGAAAGCACATTCCAGTTGTGTTTTTTGTGTATGTAAATGCAGAAGAAATTAGTGGGTTTTTAAAATTCAAATGGCTGAGATAACTGCATCTATTTGCATGAGGAAAAAAAAAAACTGGATACAAGGAGCCATTTTACTATACATGGAGAGTGCAGTTTTTTTAAGGGGAAAAATAAAAAAATAAAAAGGTATGGTCACTCAGGCAGGGTTTCAGTAATCCAGATGAAAAGGACAAAATCGCCAGTCCCATGAAGTCTGGATTCATGAGAGTTGACTGTATCTGGTCATTTCCTATATTGAGTATTTCCTATATGACTACCTCTTTCTCACTAATTCTTCTCCCTTTCCATGTTTGCCTACTAACTGATAACATGGTGAAGAATGTGTAGTATAGGGCTGACTTCATACAAGGTGTTATCAAAGCTGCTGCTTGTTAATAAAGTTGCACTACAAAATTAAGTACAATGTACAACTCTCCTAATTGCTGCAACTGTGAATGAAGAATGTAGCAAAAGCAGCAGTTGGACCAGGTTAAATTCTGCATTCTTTCAGGTATGTGCAATAAATTACAGACCCTGTTAGATGCTTTTCTTTTTCATTTAAAGAAACATTCTGAACTAATGAGTGGGGAGTTCTTCATTCTCCCTGGGATGGCTCATGAATTATGGCCACCCAGAAGCCACAAAGAAAAGTCTCTTGATCCATATGAGAAAACAGTTCATGAGTCACTCATTTCAGTACTGAATACAATAGGATCAATTCCTCAAACACCTGTATTGAACTTAACATAGACTTCTACAATGACACTTGGAGAGGGAATAGAACTGACTCTTGCACTTCATGAGTACAGACTGTTAGGGCACAAAATGCAGAGACTCATGTTCAGAGCTGATCCAGATAAGGGAGCTTGTGCAAGTCACCTACAGCAGCAATTGAAGCCTTACCTGATGCCACTTTTTTGGCTACCTGAAAGGGACAAGATAAACCCAAATTCTATCATGAAAAATGCTACAGAACTGCATGAATGGATGCAAACTGAGAAAACTTACATTATTGACATCAGCAGTTGATACAGATTCTATGAAGTGGATAAGTTCTTGGGGTGTTTTGTATTTCTTCATGAGGAGGCCCTGGACTCCCAAGCATTCAAGCACATTCTCACTGTTCTCACAATCCATCAGGATATGTGAAATGAGACTTGCCTTGCCTCGTTGTAAATCTTCATCTGACACATTTCCTCCCCTGAACTTGGCTGCAACACTTCTCATCACCTGGATAATATAATAGAGGCTCCTGAAATGCTGTTACACTTTAACAACTTAACTGCCATACAGGATGCCAGCAGGTTTAAGTGTTTAACTTCAGGGTCATTTGAGGGTGTTAAACACTTGACTGTTAAGCATTTTACAGATATTTTAACCTTAAATTGATGATCAAGCATTTTCCTGTCAAATGCCATAAAGTTGTGCTAACTTTTTAAAATAATAATGAAGTCAGCAATTTTAAAGATAGTTGATTCAAACTTTCAGAAAAACTTATTAATGAGTTATGCAATAGGAATATGCAAAACAAACTTGGATGTTTTATAGTCTTGGCAAAGGTGCTATGCTGGCAACTGTCAAAGAATTAACATATATTGTATAACTAGAGCATTAATTCATAACAGTAAGTTAAGAATAAATGAAGTGACTTTGGTCTCAAAGGGAAGAAAGCCAAAACAGGTTTTAGCTGTAAATGTGACCTTGAGATGATATATTTACAACTACCAGAAAGTCAAATGGCCTTGTGAATAAAAGAGCATACAACCTGCTAGCATCCTACATGGCAACTGATGCATTAAGCAATAATGGTGATTATCCACTGAATCATACCTTGTCTATTTCATCTGGCTGGCCTACAAGATAGAAGCCTAAAAGTCCAGCATCACTATAGTTCATGTTGAGGGCTGACACTGCAAAAGAACCTGAAGCAGAGCTTGCAGCAGCTTTGCTCAGTACTCCTGCACTCATACCTCGCTTCACATATGGGCCGGTACCAAGGGCATGCTGAAAAATGGCTCCAGCTGCCATTGCTTTTGCATCTTGCACACTGTGGTTCATATAGAATGAGGAGAGATCATTCATCACCTCTCAAGAACTAGAAGTTATAAGGAAAAAAATCAATAAGTCATGGAATGAACAGGGGGGAGAGGTTACTGTATCCCATCAAAGGCAAGGAAACAGGAACTCATTCAACAGATTCACAACCACCCTACCACTAATGTTACTCCTCTCTACTCTGCATGTGCAACTCTCTTCACAATGAACAGTTACTTTTCCAAGGACCATTTTCAATTGAAACTCTTATTTGTCTAAATCTAATCCTAGATCTAGATCTAAGTTAAAACTCCATATATGAGGGGCATCTGAGATGTTTCTGTAAACATCAAATAAAAACTAAGTCATTGTTTTCTTCACTATCAAAATCAGTACACAGAAAAATCACACCTGCCTCAATCCTCAAAATAATCACTGTTCAAATGTATGCATTTTTGCCATCTGAAGGGTAATGATTGTAAACCCATTCTGTAGATGCCTGCATCTTGCCATAGTTGGCATTCAAACCAATGTAAGTTATCACTAATTTTCAGTGGACTGTTGCCAGCCATCCATCTTATAGCCCAGACATAGCCCACTCCAACTACCATCAGTTTGGCCAGTTGTAGGATTGACTTCATGGAATAAGCTGAAATCCTCATAGTTCTTGAGAATATTTGAAACATACATCCTTCCGTGCATCTATCCACAGATCCATAAGTAAAAACACTTGAATGAAAATAATTTTATTTCTTCTTTGGATCTGAGTGCTAATTGCTCCAGCCTGAGGCAGACACATTTGAAATGAATCTGAACAGTTTTTCGCATTGTAGACAATAGGTAGTGTGCATGGCACAAAGATGGTGCATCTCTTACAGTCATTCATGCTTGAACAATGTGAAGTTATTCACATTGTTCACCATGTGAATGCTAAACTGAGTCATACATGGCTATCATATTTTACCATTACTCTGCAATGAATTTAACATGCCTTGACATTATTGCAGTTACAAACTAACTCAATAACACCCTATTGTTTTTGGAGTACACATGACTTCAAGGGATGTGCCACCCTTATTTACATGTCATGCATGCCATCTGCTAGCAACAGTTTGAAACACAGCAAGTTCTTTCAAATTGCTTCTACCTCAGTCTGGAGTGATGTGCTTTCATCCATAAAAGGAGAATGAGTGTACTCATGAAAATCTCATACCTTACCAAACCATACCTCATAATTTTATCCTGATCATGTGCAGAAAGAACACTGGAGTAAGAACTGACCTGAACCCCTCTACGGCCATGGCTACTGAGGTAAGGGGACCTCCACACTCAATACGGATTTCACCACCCCCATATGGACTGGGAGTCTTATCTCCTTCCCCACCAGGCAAACTACATGCTGTAGCAAAGTTCTCCAGGAGTTTGTGGTCCACTCCAACACCAGCAATCGCTAAACGGTTGGTTGTGAATGTTTCCTTCACGAAATCATCCAGCTGGAATTAGACAGACAGAAGCCCCTGAGCGTGAGTGGCTGTTTCATACCATTAACTTATTAACCTTTTAGCAATGGCTTCAAACAGGTCATGGAAAATAAATATCTATATTGCAGTGTAAGGATTTACATTCTCTGACACTTCCAAGGCATTGAGTTGACTAAGAAAGAAAAATGAGGGCATTATATATTCTTACAATCCAATGTCCAACATAGATTTAGAGTCAGCTATTTTGTGTAGGAGTTGGCTTTTGCATAAGATGGAAATATGAATTTCTAAATGAAAAATGAGAAAACATTTTCCTGACATTTCTTTTAAAACTAATAAAAATGCAAATTCTTTAAAAACCAAATGGATGATGAAAAATTTCCCCTCTGATCTTCCTTCATGTTTGATTGATGCATGTCCTTAGGATGACTTGATAAACTTTTGACTTTTGGCATGCATTCCAAGAGTGATTTTTTTTTTCAGCAACTGCAGACAAGGGATATTTGACTTACTCAAGTGGAACTTTTTTCATTTGGCAGTTTCCATGATACCATTTAGTGCTTCAAAATTTCCAGGGTCTAATGTTTCCTTTAAATTAATTGAAAATTTCACTTGAAAATGTGGGACTAGCATTAACACAATTATGCAAATCTGCAAGGATGCTTGAGACAACTGCCGAAAATTCATTTATTAAGTCTAATATATTGGTCCAGTGGTCTTAATAATCAATAAACATCTTTGTCTTGAGGAATGTATGAAACTCCCAATAGCATTTTGAAAGTCCCTAAAGTACTTTTCCATCTGAAAAAGAAATGGAACTAAATTTGAGAACATTTTCTGAAAGAATGGCAACATATGCAGACTGGAACAAGACTGGAAGAGAGAAGTGGATATAGAAGGCATTGTTAACTTTAAAAAATTTTCTTGATTTGCTAAGGAACTTAAGTGATCATTCACATTCATAGTGTTTCATGTAGTTGGAATCTTGAATCCATGAGGAATAGTTCTGAAATATTCATGACAAAAAAAAAGTATGACCAAAATATTCATATACCTGGATACCATATTTTTTAAATAAAAGAAATAGAAAGAATATCATAAAATGACTCACTACATCAGAATCAAAAGCTCCAACATGATGTGCTGGGCAAAACAGTGATCTTCCTAAACCCTTCTCTCTGAAAGCAGCCTTATGGAGCAGTTCCAGTGTTGCAACATCCCTTTGCTCACATCCTGAGGCCAACTCTATTTTCAGCCTTTTTACAGAATCTGATAGTTCCCAAGGTTTAAAGGCTGGGTTCAAGGCAGCTTCACCAAGAAAATACAGGGCCTTTTCCCTATTCAAATAAAAATGATAATATAGGATCATGTATCAGTGGGCTTCTTGACCTAATTACATTCTGAGCAACATACGCATCATCCCTGAGGAATTCAACGGTGTAAGCAAGATACTCCCTGCTTGCACTGCATGTGAGGCTTCCACCAATTTGCATGATGTTTCTTGTGATCCCAAAAGCTGTCTCCTTCTTTGATGCTAAACCAGCAGCAATCCGAAGCATGTGGCTCACACCAGCATTTGAACTGCTCTCATAACGTGAACCAGCCCTGTAGGATGATTTGCAAATATATTCATTATTGGAAAGGCACACACACAAAAAATTCCTTTAGCATGAAAGATTCACTTGACAAAGATGCCAATCCGTGAAACAGGACAATAATTTTCATGGCTTGCAACCACAATTCCATTTGGAAGAGCAGTCACAATAGGATCTTCCTTTGGTGGAATATGCTTGGACTTCTCGCTTGTTTTAGTCGCTGCCTGGATGGCATAGCGCCTCTGCACAATGGGATAGAAGGCATTGTCTTGATTAAATTCCCTACAACCTCAATGAAGGATACCAGTGACACATATTAAGGTTTAACTTACAGCTGGGACTCGAACAACAGATACTCGAGGAATGAAGCTGGACATGACTGCTGAATAAGCCAGCAGCTAAAGATTGGAAAAAAGACACTGGAAGAGTCACATAAAATGCATTCCTAAATGACACATTTTTAGAGTTAAAAGATAGTGGAATACTTAAAAAATTTCAACTGGGTGCAACAACTTGGTCTACTGTATTTAAGGCTAAAAATTAGTTTTCCACCATATCAAACATCAAACAAGGCACAGTGCCTGAGCCATGTCACTACTTGTGACAGGCTGATGAGTACTCAAATCCAACCATCCAGAGGCCAAACCAAAAGAGAGACTTGCAAGATAAAGCATTTCTTGGTGCTGTATCTCACATAAGGTAAACCTATGAGATGTAGGCCATTTCTTAAAAAACACCAGGCAGATTGGAAGGTCTCTGCAAAGGAGTGTGTGCATGTTTGAAGATATGGTGTATAGGGTGGACCAAAAAAACACTCCATAAAATCCCATGGGTGAATTGTTGTATGGAAATATACATGGATGTATAAATAGCTTCAATTCCAGTAGTACTTTCCTAGGATCAAGGAAGACATGCTACCACTGTGACTGCTGTCATGCATGACCACATATTGCATATGTGTTTTCTTAAAGTACAGAACTAGCAAAAGCAAATATGGAAACCAAGCCTCTGATTTCCAAAAGCTGGAGCTTCCCTTCACACAGTTAAACCTACCATTAACCTTCTACAATATCTATCAGCACCCTGCTATCACCTATCTTAGTCTTCAAGAATGGCACCAGCACTCTCTTGACTTTCTCTGCAGCTATTCAAGGAGTCAAGCAGACTATCAGTCCAAAGCCTCAGAACCCCCAGCAGTGAAAGCAAAGCATCCAGAATGAAATCAGAAACATTCCTAAAACAATGCTACAGAAAATCATTCAGGGCACCAGCAGCAGAGCATGGGAGTCCCAATCAAGTAGGGAGATCATCATCTAATAATTTTTAATGATTTCAAAGAGGATCTGAAAGCATTCAATGCCTGACTCCCATTCAATCATATTTCATTCTTTATGCAATTATGTTTCCTGATGAATTCATAAAAATTAATTTTAAAAATTAGTCAATCAGCCAGGGAGCACAAAGTAGATGTTCAATGAGGCACTTAGTGTGCTTCATGCGGTAGACAGTCTGCACTTCAGGTACCCTTGCCCTAAAATGCCCAACTGCCATAATGGATCTTGAGAACGTGGTACTCACATTGGACTCACGGACCAAACTCAAACAGCACTAAATGCCTAAGATGAGCAATTTATGATTCTTGCATCAATGCCTCTTTTACTTCTTTTTAAGCATGTTGTTTCCATTTGCTTCAATCATGCTCTAAATTAAACAATCAATCCTAAGTAAAGCACTTCCCATGGAAAACAATGGAGTTCTTTTGTCCACCCTATACTTCAATCCATCCATCACAAAAATCTTGGGTCAGTTTCACATCAATTAGCATTTTTAAATTGTTTTTATGATCCAATTACTGTCCTTTACATTTACTTGAGATTAAAGAAGTCCATACAGATCCTAAGGCTTGCATGGAGCACTCCTTGATAGCGATAGTTCAAATGTTCACTCGCTGATGGTCCTTTCCACTTGAAACTGTGATGGAGACAGGGGAAGAGAGAAGGAAAACACTGCATTTCACAGGTTAAATCCTGCCATATTCGTATCACGTTCTTGGATTTGCTGATGTCGATGAAGCACTGTTGGATGAAGGAACGCTTGCATCACCTTGTCCATCACGGGGAGGGCTCTGTGAAGGATATCAATATCCACCATAGTACTGAATATTCAACACTTAGATGAAAAGAATAGTTAAAAACATAATGAAACCTCTTGCCATACTCACCTTGACCTGAATCTGAGCTTTGAGGATTGCTGCTCGCAGAATCAGTGCCTTGGCTCTTCTTTGGAAGTCATCTCCCACTTGTAATGCCTTCTCAAAGGTGGTGCATCTCTGATCAACAGCCTTTGCATGCAGAATCTAGGTATGGAGTACAGTCCAGCAATTAGGTTTATGAAGCAGAAGCTGTATTTCCTCACACTAAAAATCTCACTCACCTTGTTGTGAGAATCAATTCTGGCTTGGATCTGACCAGCAAGAATCAACTGCATGAGTTCATCTTCAAGTCCCAGCACAGTTGTATTGAATGCTTCAGCCATCTTCTGCATGTCAGCTGAAACATATGGGCTGAAGTACTGGATTAGGGCTCGATTGCGGATTTCACTGTAGAGAGCCTTCACATGGGGAGCAAGGTAAATGTCCAGGAGCAAGTTTTCCTTCATCTCATCCAGCTGCTTCAAGCATGATGCATACTTGGATTCATAAAACTTGAAGATGACATCTCGCAACTGTGGCTCTAACTCCAGGAAGAGCTTGAAAGAACTAAAAAGCAATATCACAATTTCCACTTGCTGCCTCTCATTTTTGAATCAGAATCATAACAATTTTGAATCAATTAAAAATGAAAAATGCAAACCTGCTATTTATCACATGCTTTTGGAGTTCATGCCGATCAAAGGAGGCCAAGGCACAGAGGCCTCCATAAATTGCTACATTGCTGGGAGACATCAAGTCAGGGAAATCACAGTGATCAACATTGGCCATCAGGAAGTGTCTGGCAGCTGACTTGTATTTCTTAGTAGCCAGTTCAGCAAGGCCTGCAGCACACTTCAACCGGGTGATGGTTTTTGCATTCCCATTCTTGCTGTGACTTATTTGCTGCTGCAAATCATGTAGATAAAAAATTTGGCTGAATGAATCAAGTTTGCTATCACAATCATGCATTCATCCTGCATCACCCTTGGTGGGAGTGCTGTTATTGAAATGTTAGGTCTTAGCCTCAACATAGCCTACTAAGACTACAAATGTACCTTGGGGTCAATTGAAAACATAAGAAAGGCTGGGGAATTGGTATACTTAACCCACATGTTTTCATGAAAGGGGGAAAATTGTGACCAAAATTGCCTGGCATTGACCAGACCAATACTAGACTAGATTTATGTTACAACTATAGGAGCCTATGCTCAATCTTGGAGGAATGTTTTACTGGTAAGGATGTCAAGGGTAAGATTAGGCTTATGCAAACAAGTCATGCAAATGAAAATGGGTGAGGCAGCAAATTTGGTTGTCATGAGGGAAAAATTGAAAGAACAGACTAATGTGTTGCCTTACTTTCATTTTCAGATACACATTCCTAAACTTATGCTCTTTAAATATTGGTTATAGAATATTGGATTATCAGAATATTGAAAAAACTCAATATTGTTCCATCCCAATTAGAAATACAGGAAATATCCACACAAGTTTACCTTCTTCGCTTCCACAAGGTCAGGTGTGGCTTCTGCTTTGCTCACATAACTCAGCACGTTAGACCAATTTTGAAGGTAGACACTGACCTGAAACAGGGGAGGGAACATCAAGTCAATCAAAGCCAGTAAGCTATTGATACGTTAGAAGACACTTTTCAATCCATTTCTCAAAACAGTGAAATAGATTGAGGTGAAACTTCCTTGAGATGCCACAATAATCTTTCTTAATAAAACTGATAATCTTGTATGACATTGCAAGTGTTTGATGAACAAAAAAATCTCTGAAGGAATTCTCAAGCATGACAATAAGTGCATCCCCCACCTTGATTACATTCAGGCACATGTGGATAAGATGCTTTCCACTCGTGCAGTAGTCTCTTGCACGGATGTAGCACTTCAAGGCATTGTTCAGATCTCCAATGTCTAAATAATGATCCCCAAGATCATCATGGCCTCTCCTGATGCTCTCCTTGATTGAGTTGGTCTTGTAATTCTTCAAATCTGTATCCAGTTTCTCCAGCTGTAAATGGTACATCAATCCAATGTAAAAAATTTAAAGAAAAATATACTAACTGATTAAAAGCTGCAAGTTCATCTAAGTGTGGAGAAACATCTACCTTCAATGCAGCTTTCTTTGACCTGGTTTCAGCCCACTGAGAATCATAAGGGGGGATATTATGACCCATGTCCTGACTGGCCACATCTGGCACACTGCCAGGGCCATTTGGAGCACTATTGCCCCCTCCAGGCAATCTCCTAAACAAGCATATAAGCCTTCCCATTCAGCACTTTTACATAAAAAGAACATCAAATATCAACACGTCAGTGAACTCACCCAGATGCCTCCAACAACTTGCGGTGAATGATCTGATACAGGTTCACATTGTATGTTGTCTGGATATGAGTAACAGCCAATTTCAATGCCTCTACACGCAATGGTGGGCAATGGTCAGCCACATAAAGCAGTCGATTGAGCTTTGCAAAGCCACTGTACTGACTTGCATACGATTCCAAATCCTGGACCAAGAAAAATTTTAAATACATTCTTATGCTCTGTTTCTTTCTAAAAAAAAAAAAAAAAATTCATTACAATTAATGAGATATGGGCTGAACAAGTAGACATGATTTTTTTACTTAAGGCTTGAAAATCATCTATTTGTGAAGACTAAGAAATTATCATGAAAATAAACTGACCAGTGAAGTATTCTCTACAATGTGTTGCTCAATTTCTTCATTTTCATTGTCTTCTGGACTTCCAGGTGGAGCATCAATTTGCATGGGCTCTATGGATGCCTGTAAAAACAAGAATATATATTTTTAAAGCCAATCGTAAATCAGCCAGGATGCTGGTGGATTTTTTAAGGCTTGATCATAGATTGGAAGTTTCAACTCCTGGGCACTGGGGGAGGAGGTAAATGAGATGACCTGAAATGGCATCTGGTGGCTGAGCTATATCATTACTTCCACTTCAATGCAAGCTAAAATGATTGCCACCATGCTTAACCCTTTGAAGTCCACTTTTTTTTTTTTAGAACATTATGACCAATGACCCACCCAGTGGGACAAAGGAGTACAAAGGGTTAATAATGAGAAATACTGTAAAAGAGTAAGTTCCAAGGTAAAGTAGAAAAATCTTTAAAGTTATAATCTTTGAAATGTAAGAAGCTGCATTCTTTACAAGAATAGGCTAACAGCAAACGTATGTGTTATACAATGGAATATGATATTAATGTCAGATGATAACATGGCTGAAATCTCTAAAACATCACATTGAATGAGCTTCATATTTAATCCACACATACTGCTTTTGGATTAAATTGATACCCCCCTTTTGTGAACAGAGAAAACACAAGCTTTTCAGATGGATGCCAAGCCTGCTGCTCCACATGGTTACTGGATGGTTTTATTAAAACTTCATCTTCCATCTGCAAGGTGTCCAGCCTGTTCTTGATGGAAGCACCCCAGAGGGGGATATCAATTCAATCCAAAAACAGTGTATTAGGAAGGTACAGCAAGATAGGCTCCAAGTTTTAATTATGTGTCTTATAAGATAGAAACAATATATGGCAAAACAGAAGAAAAAAACAAGAGCACTGCTTGTCATTGTCTATTCATAAAAATGTTGATATGACACAGAATTGTGTTTTGTGTAATGGTTGATATAAGTAATAGAAGCCCATCTTATAATTAGAGACTGGGATCAGCTTAGCCATGGTTTTCTCAAAAACATGTTTTCAACATATGGATAACCTGGAACATGAAATAGCTAGGAGGGATGCCCAAGAAGGTCTATGTTGGTGGTGTTCATAAACAAAAACTATGGACAATTGTATGATGACCATCTGACCAGAAATCTACACCTTTGGTAATATTCATATTACGGTTTTCAAAAACCACTTGACCTGGGAAGCTGAAATCTAGCATGCATCATTATCTCAATGGATTCTGCAAAATTTGTATCAAAATCTGAAAATTTGAGGTATATGGCTGTGTCGATTTCACATTCAAATATACATATACTCCTTTATGTCCATGCATGAAAGATGTCTCCCTCCCTTTTCAAAACTGATCAATAGATGAAGAAAGTCAATTTCTACTTTTTTTCTCTTCAACTTTCACACTTAAAACTCTATTGGTTTTTTTTTTTAAGGTAAATGAGAGTGTCATAATCCTTTGAAGGTATTTGATAAAGCTGAGCCACTGGATTGCAGTGTCCTCAAGCAGGTCATACTACGTTTCAAGGAGATATGAGTAGCTCAAACTGTATATTTTTAGACTGGCTTGATAGAGGTGCCTCATTTACAGTGCTCACTAAAAACTGTCTCATGACTGTTTCTCAAATCTTCATCTCAACTATGCTTCCTTCGATATATACCGACAGCAAAGTCAATGCAGGACTTGGAGTCCTATCTAGGGCATTGGAAATATCATCAGGTGCACCTGTGCATGAAATATATGTCTGTCTCTCTTGATGTCATCTGCAGCTGCACTCAGTACTCAGCATCAAGAGAGACAGAAAAAAAGTGAGTCTCCATTGCAAGGCCTTGTTGAGAGAAAGCAGGGGGAGGGATGTGGGTTGCAGCTGTTCAATTGTATGCTATGCAAGGTCACACTTCCAATTCCTTCATTAGTGTATTCATGAACATAAGGAACATTCAGCTTTATGTAACACTTAAAATCCCAAGATTCCAAAGCTGCATATGCACTCTCATCCAGAGTTTTTTGGGAGTCCTGATGGCTGTGCAAAATTTCATGAAGACTTACAGTTTTTTGCTTACCCTGAGATTTCGACCCTTCTGAAACTTGTTTATATAGCCTAGGATATTCCTAGGAAAGAAAATACTGGTCTTGGGATGATACAGCCCAGACCATCACAAGCATACTTGGGTATGTGATTTAAAGAGTCAAGGAAAGAACACAAATAAATAGATGCAAATGAAAATTGTTTTGATGGTGTTTGAAGTTAAGCTAGGTCCAAGTGTTGGGTTCTCACATTCATGTCAGGCCAAATGCTACAATGAATTCAATATGACTTCTTGAGTTTTCAGTGATTCAAAACTGCTTACTGTTAAAAATTCTTAAGAGGGTAAGTGAGACTGCACAGATGCATCAGTAACCACTGGTACTGACTGCTGGTGTGGCACCATCAGTGCCATCAGCCAGCAGTAGGTTTGCAATTCCACCCTCCCCATGATGCATCAAAGCATCATTGACAGTTCAAGCTGATGCATTGATGCCATCATGACAACCCTAAAAATTAAGTAGTACATGGCTTCCTAATAAGCTTACTTGAATACATATTTCACAAGGTTCTTTGCTCTTCATCAAAGTCTTACTATCGGCATCGGCACCGGCAGATGGGCATGAGATCATAATCGGCCATCGGCCAAATGTGGCCACCAGCACTGTCCTAACGTTGGTAAGAAGTCAATTTGAAAATTGAGTCATTCTGAACTTAATGTGGAGATAGTCAATTTCATATCAATATCAACATTTCTACTATTTGAAAAGTAGGCCTAAGTTCCGCGCGATGCCAGTCAATTATTACAGTAGGCATAAAGTTTGACATATGTTCAAGACTAACTAGAGGTTATTCGCAGTCTATTTCAGCAGCTTTCCAGTTTATTTCGACACACGCGTAGGAAAAGCCATAAAAGGGTGTCTGAGACGCCTGAAAAAAGTATCACATTCGAGTGCGATCCTTTTTCAAAACTATGCAGCCTCTAGCTGCAACTCCAGTTGGTGCTTCGCTCCGGTTCAATGTCTCTAGGTCTAGATCCTCTCCAACAACTCCTGATCCGTACAGAAGACATTGCTGCGCCAAACTCTGGCATATCATATGTGGTAAAAACAATGTCCTATCATCATCTGATCCTACCTGATAGGCTGGACACGGCATTGGAAGAGGCATTCCTGGTTCCCCTGATCATACACACGGAGGCAACCATGTGCTTGAGCATCTTCGCATTTGACATTCACATCTGTCCATGTCAGAATGCAAAACCGGAACCCTGCCGTAGCTGTTAGCCACCTACAATTGCTCTTTGAACCTCAACTCCATCACATTCATCATAAATACGAGAATATCATCATGAAACCCAAACTCGTTCATTTTCAAATAATATCATTAATTGTGCATGATACCCATACTCGCCTACTTCAAGTGAATATCATTATTCAGATCAACATCAGCAGTTCGTGTCTAGGCCAGAACCCTGGCCCTTAATCAATCTCATATACTGATTGGTTCTGCATACTGATCAGAGAGACATGATGCCGGGAATCCCTTCCTAAACCGAAGAAAAAACCTAGAGGATTTCACACTAATCGGGGTGACTTTAGCGTTCTTGAGACAGGCTGAATTCCTGAAGAACCGGACTCAGCTGGCAGTAGAATTATTGGAACATATCCATTACTTCTACTTCACCTATCCCGTCAATTTCGACTAAAGACGGAATTCCGATGCTTAAAATCTCGAGCTGTCAATGATATCCAACGTAGGACTGGTGGAAAAGGCTCATGAAACAAGCTTGAAAGCCTTATGGTCAAGCTTCCACCAATCCTGTTTTGAAGCATACTCCGGTACGGAAACTGCTGACGTTTTGGTGCCGCTTTAAGATTATGATAGAGTAAGGGCATGATGCGTTTATTCCATCAAAGACGACCGGGAGACGAATCCACTTTCATGCAGTGGCGTAGCGTGGTTGGCATGGGCCCTGGTGCAAGGAATGAAACGGGCCTGTTGTGCAATTTCTTACTATTTGAATTATATGGGAGTCTTTTTTTTTTGCTAGTTTTCTCCGGCAGCATATATATCGTCGTCGGTAGCTGAAGTCAGTGTGGAAGGCAGTGGCGAATACAGAAATTATTCATAGGGTATTTCCAAGTTCCCAGCCCCCCCCCCCCCTCATCTACCACCAGCCTCCGTCCTTATTCATTTTTCGTGTGGGGTAAAAATCCTGAATAACCATTTCACAGGAGCCAATAAACATTAATTTATGTGCTTTATAAATAACAAAAAAATAGACTGCGAACTTGGCCAGAGGAGGGACAGTCGCTCTCCCCCCCCTCGTCAACCTTCCTCCCTCTTCGTAGCTCGGCGTCTGGGGCCCTCTGGCCCGTGGGTCCCGGTGCAGTCGCACCGCCTGCACATTCGATAGCTACGCCACTGCTTGCATGGGATCATGTCAGGAATCAGAAGTCCCATTAAAAAAGAAATACTCGATACACTTCAAATCACTATAGGCACTTTCGATTGGTGAACAGGATTCTTAACCCCGGTCAACCAGGACAGGAATTCCAACTGAGTAGATGGGAGCTTGTGTTCGGTGGAATTCTACACGAGCTGGTTTTAATGAGTCATTTTCCTTACCCACAATAAGAAGGTCTGTCACTTCTTACAAAACACCAGAATGAGTCGTGATGCCATTTACGATACATCAGTCCTTTTCCCTTCGCGAAAGCCGTCACAGGGGGACATCACAACACCGAAACCACTCAAGCAATTTCAAAAGATCGTGAACCCATTCCCTGTCGAACAAGTTTTTCCTTACTGGGTCAGGAACCCATTCCAAAAACGAAAGTGCTTCATGAAACTCGGTTTCACTGGGATAGCAACCATGACTTGAAACAGCAGGTGCAATGAGTGCTCAGCCCGTGTCAACTATGTTAACTCCATCTGCAACAAAAAGCAGACCACACGAAACGAGATGACCTTGACATGGATTATCAGACACCATAACCATTAATTTGGCCAAAGAATTTCATAGCGTTACTTAGTGGTGTACGTAGAATTTTAGAAGTGCGCGCGCGTGTGTGTGTGTGGGGGGGGACGAGGCTAAGTACTAAGGCAGCTACATGACGAGCTGGATGGAGGAAGGAATTATAAGGACCAGGGTGGGGAAGGGGGCTGGATTCGAACCCCAGTCCCCGCTCCTCCCCCTCGCACATGTCACCGCAGTTCCCCACAATGAGAAAATATATTAGTTCACAGCAGAGACGGCGAACCGCCCATGATTCCCAGATTAGACAAGGTACGCGCTATATTGTACACGTGGAGACAGTCATGAGACGACAGACTGCAGCAGAGATAGGGAAAAAAAGATTACTCAAGTACAAACCAAGTAAATGTACAATTTATGGTAAGCTATTCGTCTTTTACCTTCGTTGTTTTTGGGTGGGAAGGGTGGGAAGACCTCCCCCCGAAACACCGCAATACATCAGGGATTGCAACGCGTAATCGCTGCAGGTCGCCTCCACAGGAGATCTAATTGTGGCGGGGCGGACAGTCAATGATCTGTATTCGTCGCAAGACATTTCTAGGCCTACTCAGCGGCTCAAACTCTTGTTACTCAGTCGGTTTCCGTTTTTCTTTGCTGCCGCACCGGACAAAAAAAAAAAGAATGAAATAAAAGTAAAAGCGGAGGAAAAATCGCTGGTCTATGGCATTAAGTAAGTGTATTTCATCGAGAAGGCTTTCTCATTGGGTTTCAGTTGGTTTCACTTTTCATTCTCTCTAAAGCCGAAAAACTATTGCAAGCTTATTTATGGTTAAATCTTGTTTAGTTTCAAACTTTCCGTCAGTTTTTAGCCAGAAAGCGAACTCGCCTTAGGCCTTATCTATAGCGGGCGTCCTGTTGCTAGTGAGGCTGCATCGTTCTCTAAGGAGAAAGCGTTGATGGAACTGAAATTATTGAATGTGACCACTAGTCACAGGGATCATAGAGGATATTTAACCTTGGACGCTGAAGACACGGGTGACCGCTTAAGGCTGGGGTTCTCAAACTGAGGGGGTCCGACAGGTCGTGGGAGTTTATTTTTTCATCTACTACAATGTGCAATTTAAAAAAACTATGGAATGTTATATCCATCTACCTTTCTTTTTACAGTAAAAAGGTCACATTCCTTCAGGTCTCTTTAGCACTTTCTCCAGGAGTACAAGGCTAAATGAAAGCAATTCAAGGGGGAGATTTTTTTTATATTCGATTCCTCTATTCAAGGGGCATGCATTTCCATTGGCGATTTACTACAATTCGAATGAAGATGACAATCGTGCGTCCCTTCGGGTTGTAACTTGAATGCTTAGTGATTGTAACGGCCGCGCGGTCGTTCTGTCTGAAGAAATACTTTAAGAAACTCAATGACGCAGAAGAGCTGGGTTCCTGGGCAGAGCAAAATTTCCGAAGACATTTCTGTCAAGTCTTTGAAAATTAGATTTGCGCCGTTATTTTTACCGTCCAATTCAGATTCGATCATTTGTGGGCCCAGAAACTTGTGAGCGTCGTTCTCATGGCATTATTAGAATTATATTCCGTTTTCCAGCTGTGATCCGGTCCCTGAAAGGTTGCAATCTGTTTCTTATTTTTTCAATCATCGCATGAAAAAAGTATCCGCGGGGTAAGTTTAATTTCTAGGTACTCCTCCCCTCTAGAGAAAGGGGGCGCGACACCGAATTAGGGTCATTATGGGAGGAGCAGTGTGAAAAGTTTGAGAACCGCTGACTTAAGGCTTTCTTTATGGAGTTCATTAACTTTGTTGCGTCGCCACAGACGGTACGTCATGCCAAGGGTATAAGCCTATTAGGCTCATTTTAGTAGAACATCAATTGTATGACGGTGAACTGAATTCGCATGGTACGCCTCAGGCTGGACTTAGTGAAGGGGCTCAATGCGTTTTTATGGCATATAAATGTATAAAAATGTACCGGGTGGCGAGTAAATAACGCGTCGCATTTGATACTTTATGGAACTGATAGCAGAAAATCAAGGTTTTTTTATTATTTTACTATTGAGGAAGTACTTAATTCATATTCTGAAAGTTTGACAATTTTAGGTATTTTGGATAAAATTGAGGGTTATTCAAACTTGAGTGAGAAAACTTATTACCTCGTACCAAGTTGGAGAACTTTAGGACCGGAGTGGGAAGATGACAAGTCTCCAATCAAATCACGGGTTGTGCTCCGTACGATCTCCTTCGACTCTTTTTGTTCAGAGCACATGCTTATCAGACATTTCCCTTTGTCACGGGTGACATGATGACACTACACAGTCAAGAACACCACAATGAGGACGCAGCCTTAAGAATTTTTTTTTTTCAACAGAGACGCATCTGCAAGACACTGTTAAACCACTGTTACACAACACGGGGAAAAGCTAAATATCCTTACAGAAACTTGAACGACTGTTGCTCTTTACTGGAAGAACCTAAAGACTTAAAGCTTACAGGAAATAAACGTCAGAGCACTTTCTACGCGATATCATCATGGGTCACATCAACCGTCCGTGATTTTTTACTGTCATCCTGTTACAAGAGACTACCTCAGAGATTGATAGAGATACGACTGCAAACTACATTATGCTGAAGTGAAAGTAGTTGATTAACAACTGTGCAATTGCTCCATAAGGAACAGCCAGACAGAGCAGGGAGCAATGATTCCACTCAACTTGGCTCAGATTATCTCGAGTTAATTGAAACTGGAGGTAAACTATAATCAAACAGGCAAAATTGAAATCACTTTCTCTGGTTAGTTTTATATCCAGCGAACTGAAACCAAGACCAAGACTGAATCAGTGCTAAATGAATAGTTCCCTCTCACAATGAATAGAAATATTTAAAAAATGGCTGTACCACTAACAGGAAACTGGTTCCTATTTAGCAAAATATCCCAATTATAAATACTTTTTACCTTCATTGTCAGTTTAATCACAGAGTCCTGCTTCATTTCCAGCTTGAGTTAGGGGCAGAGGGGAAGCTGTCCTCTCTTTGTGCCCACACAGTCAACGCTGTTGCAAGGTCACCTTGCAAACTGGGCCCCTGAGAGTTAAATTAAAAAATTGTCATTTAGCATTTTATTTCCTTCATGCTCCCATTTCTTCACCTTTCATGGAGCATGGCCTCCAGTAAACTCCACTTGCCAACTGACCCCAACTGCTGTTATCATTTGGTATGAGACTCAGATATCACACCACACATCATATTGCAAGAAAACTCTGCCAATGTGGTAAACATATACATTTGTACTGCTGATCATTCAGTGCTAAGGGAGTAAACACATATCCATCATTCCATCATATATTCCACCATTCCACATTCCATCATACTGTACATACAGTATATCAGGTGTTGATAGTGAAAGCCACCCAGCTTCAACTTGTCATCTACAGTACTCAACTTCAAGGCAATCAATAAGTGTTTCCTCTGCTTAAGCCTTCCTTTCTTGTTTCCAGTCCAAAAACAGGTACTTGGCAACTTATGTGTAGGTTAAGAAAAATGCTACTGCTGGCTCTAAAAGACAATCACAAAAATCCTCCACCATTAAGGTGGAAGCATTAAAAGTGTACATATTCCTGAGTTTGTGAGAGAAATTTTCAAATGTTTTTGTTGAATCTCATAAACAAAATGTTGAGGTTTAGGTGATGAGCATATGTTGCAGAGTATTTGATGTGCACATGAAATGCATTAACTCAAATCTGTCATGAATGTGCTTGTTGAATAAATATTGATGTAACTTTTAGTAAGTGAAAGTAAATTGTGTCTTTTTATTAACATAGGGAGGTTGGGGGGAGTGGGGAAAAACAGAATCAGGCAACTGAGGGGCCTGGGGGTGATCTATCACATTCCATGCAAAATTTTCATATCATCCATGTTTTTTGTCTCTGCTTGCATTTTCAGAGGCTTCCTCATGCATTTCCTCAAGGTCTTCCAGAATTGAACCAAATCGTGAGAAAGCCTGCTCTCGCATTTTTTGCTGCAACAAAAGAAACAATGAGAAAGGGTGAATATACAGCCACACTTTTTAAATGCAGATTGAATGAATGCACTTGGCTTATTTGTGAATATAAGCTTGTAAGCATTTGCAGATAATTATCCCATCACTAAGATAATATACCAAACAGCATATTTTCCCCTGGTGTTATTTCATGCAAGTTAAGAGACATACAGTTAGTTCATTCCTGATCACTATTAGCTTCCATTGTATCACTACAGGGTGACACATTAAATGTTTGTATTTTTTTTGCATTAAAACAGTACTGTTTTGCAAGCATAGTTTGTATAACTATATCTTGCAAGAGACTGCTCTTGGCTTGTGTATTAAGGATGGTTTTTTAACCATTTGAGGACTGAGTATTGTGAAGTGAAGTGCTATCCCCAGGAGGTTTTTTTTACACACCAAGTCCACAATTTCTATGTATGGCAGAAGGCATCATTCATAAAAACTGAAAATGTACATGTAGGAGGTAGTGACCAAAACTTGCAAATGCACATAGTCCTCAAAGGGTCAAGAACATAGGGAGGTGGTGTTGTTTGGTGAAATCAGCTCCTACATAGAACAGTATTCTGCATCAGCAATCACAATTTAAGACTGAAGGGATCATGCAAGAGCTGAAATGACAATGACCAGTGACAGTGCAAAGTGATAAAAACATAATTTTGGATTTTAAGCAGTCATTTGATTCTCAACTTGCAAAAGCAAACCCAGAATAGTGTTCCATGCAAGAACTCAGAAATTGCTTTAAAAAAATAATAATAATAAATAATTAAATAATAATAATTTTTGAGTTTTGTAAACACTTTAGGCTTTTTGGCAAATAAAACACTAATAAAAATGGGTAAATATTCCTGCATCCTCATTCCTCCAGGTATAATTCAAGTGCAGTCAGAACCGTTGTGAGGATTTCACAGGGTGTAGCCAAGTGGAAATCATGAAAATGTTGGTGGCCAATTGCACTGTCAGGGAGTCCAATTCCCAGTCCTATGTTGAAATGGCATTTTCCCTCCATTCTATGTATTTGTGCATATGTAATCAATCAATGCTGCATAGAATGGAGGATAACTCACGACTAGATTCACGGCAGCAGCAAAATCCAACTCCATGAAGTCGCCTAGAGTCATGTCAGCTTCCTTCTTGCCCTTCTGAATGAATAAGCAGTTTGTGTTCCTTCCATGCTCAAGCCTGAATATAAGAAGAAAGCAATGTTTCCTAAGTATAATGGTTTAAAAACCAACTCATTCAATAACCTTCTTGAACAAGCCTACTGATTTATGGTATTACCTCAGACAGATAAAAGAGATCATATCACTGGCATTAATGATTAGTGAATAAAGTTCTTATAAAAGTGGCATTTTCAGCTTATCCTAATTCATATTACAATTACTTTTTTCTTAGTTGGATCTAATAATTTAATATAGGCCTGTGCATAAGCTCTCTTGCAATGGCTGAACATTTTATAGATTTATTTATCCACGTTCTGTCTCTGCTAGCCCAGTGGAAGTAAAAAATTTAAACATATAATTGAACAAGCCATTTGGTGCTATGAAAATCATGAAATGACTTCTGAGACAACCCTTATATTAAAATGAAATCTATCCTTTGCAACATTGTTGAACAATAGTCTCCTTTATGACAGTCCCAAGGGCATAATATGATATCCACACAAAAGGAACTCTATCAAGTATCTCATGGGGAACTACTTTGATTTTGAAGATTGCACATCTGTAATATACACTCAACTCACTATCTTCATCATCACTTGAAGAAATTACTTTCAAGCATGACAATTTCAAGCCATGTTCAGCAGCAAACCTAGAACATGTCTGTAGATACTCGTTATATATTTAAAATCTGATACCATTTGTCTCATATACATAGAAAATGATTCTGCCTAGCATACATACAATTTTTGGGTGGGATGTTTCTCAATATTCCAAAAATATGACAACTTTTAAAGAATGCATACAAGTAAGATTTTAATTGCAAAAGCTGATATTTTAAATCAATAACTTGGGGGTCTATCAATTGAAGTCACAATTAGCAGTTGAGAGAGCTTCCTATATCATTCCTAATTTATGACTCTAGGATGTTGAATATTAATTGGAAACCTATTATTAGATTTTTACTTATAGAAATGCATTCCAACATCATGTTTTTTCTCTGTATCTATAGGTCTGGAATGATCTCACCAAAAAAAAAAACAAAAAAAACATGCATTTCTCACAAATTAATCATGAAAGAAAAACAGTTTTATATCATTTGAAAAATTTTTGAATAAGAAACAAGCTCACATTCATGCAGTTTCTCCACTCAAGCCTCATTCAATTCATTGAATCTGCAAAATTAGGCCAAAAACTGCTAATAAGACTAACTTTATTTAAATTTAGATACCTTTGGATCTTCAGAAAATGTTTTATTATTATTATAATGCTCTAGTTGCCCAACAGTTCCTTTTTGCTTAAAATCAGCAAAACAACATACACATAATAGACCTAGGTTGTATACTCCACAAAAAGTCCAGTCATTCTTACCATGGATCATCATTTTTTTCCCATCCAGCAAGCATCTTCAAACAGACATAGCAAGCAGTTAGATCTGGCTCTTCCTCATTCCCACAACAAAACAATCCTGCCTCAGCCAACTGGAAAAAAAGAATGACTTTTTTTTTTACAAGGGGAATACCAGTGGACACATACTACCAATATTTTATAATACAGAGAGAGGATGAGAGTGCCTGCTTGGCACTGGCACCACAATCAATATAATGGTCCCTCAGGCAGGGACACCCTCTATAGTCATAGAGGTGACCTAAGGGACACCTCTATGACTGGCATGAGTGATTTTTAAGGTGTTCTGCACCATATCTCCTAGTCATGTCATGCAGAGTGGAGTATGTGTTCCCCCATGGCAAGCAAACACTCCCCATAAGAGCTAGTGGGATGCCTGTTAGTGGAGAAAGACTGTCACCACCAGGATTTGATCCTCTGCCTTGCAGGTTCCAATCAGTAGCCAGAAGCACTTGACCACCAAACCAAGTAACTTTTCTTTTGCTGTGGTTTCACATTTTGGACTTCCCTGAACTTTAAACTAGCTGCTAAAGACTCAGGTATGTCAAATGGAGGTCATGTTTAATTTGACAAAATTAACATTCATGAAAAAGTCCATTAAAATTATGCAAGCCAGCAATCCCTGCAAAAGAATGCTGGTTGTAACTTTTAATTTTAAATCCCTTCTAGATGCAATAATATTGCTTTCGGATTGAACTCATAGCCTGCCCCCTTGGTTTAAGGAGAATGGCAATAGCATGACTCTAAAGGATTCATTTCATCAGCTGATCCAATAAACCACCTTGCAGAAGGTGTCATTATCTGCAATGGATGCTCCTATGGGGGAGGAGATATGTAATCAACTCATAAACATTGTATGGCACTGAAGGTGTTAAATACTAGGGATGGAGTATGCGAACTGACAGAAAGCTTAACTCATTCCATGAGCAGCCCCTGGTGCATATAAATACATTTTCGTTTTATTTGCGGAACCTATCCATTTGGATTAGCCCAATTGGTCACTTCCATTGAAATAGGCTATCCTTTCATGGAGTGAGCTCATAAAGACTTTAGCTTACCAAAGAACTATGCCTATGATGTCAATGAGAAACAGGTTCACCTTTTTTGGGCTAGGGACTTTGGATTTTGGCCACAATTTAAACTCTCCAAAGGTTTTCAGTCGATGTTCTTCCCTTGTCATCAGCTCCAGGCGGGCTAAAGACTCTCGAGTGATCTGCATGATGATCGTTCGCAGTGAAGTACGACGACCGGCCACTCGAAACTGAAATTCACTTGATTTCTACAGGATTGTTAAGAAGAGGCTGCCTATCGAAGGCCTATGATAGGCATTGGCTGTAACTGCAAAGAGCGCGTGTTTTCAAAACCCCGACATTAACGCAACATGGCGCGACCCTGGGCTGGTCTTGTAATGGAAGGGCTGAAAGGAAGACTGGTTTATTTGCGAAAATTCGCTTCTCGAGCTCTAGAAGGAAAGTGCTAATACTCTTCTGACCGTCTTCTTAAAAGCGAGGGAAAGTGAAGGATGTAGGTTGACCGGTTTTTCATTCATATAAATACCTCCAAATGACAATTCTTACTTTCATGATAATGAACAGTAGGAAGGAGAAGGGTCAATGTCGATTAGACCATCAATTATGTTCACTTTCTCTTATAATTTTTTCCTGATAGACCATTTCACCTTTCAGTCCATCGATTATAAGTTGCAAGCTCCCATCATCCTCATATATAGGTCCCATTCTCCCAAGTTTAGGTATAACACTTCACGGTCCCATTTTGAACTCTTTTACCCCAACAGACTCGAAGCCTGCAAGAAAAGTGGCCGATACACTATTTTCGAGTTTGGTGTTTTTGAAATTATATAAACAAAGAAGAAAGAGAGTGAGAACGGAGTTCCCATACTTCTCGCGAGAACTCTAAAAAATCTACTTCAAGTATATTTCATGGCTCCAACCAATTGTTTAGCGGTAAGGCACGTGGCTTTCACGTGCGAATGCTTCATTCTTTTCATTATCACTCTGAGAAATGCATTGCTCCGGTCCGCTTCAGGTCCAAAACAATCGACTAACGTTACAAAAAAAAGCGGCAGAGGGAAAGTCCAAACATCCGCATATTCAGAGAGGTGATGTCTTAATCTGCTTTTGCTCCCAACCCCAGCTAAACACACTTCGCACATAATCTCTCCCCATTGGAATTCCTTGTCCACCTTTGAGCCAAAATCACGTTGAATCTATGGGAATCGCTGTAGGGGGAGCCAAGACGCTTCCAATATTTTTTCCGCTTAATATTCCCGAACGCCGTCGATATTGTTTTATGTGACAACTGGCATTCGGTAGAAAAAGACGTTGACATTTTCAATCCCTGATGATTTGAATGTGTTTTGAGCCTTGCTCGTCATATGACGGATATAGGGCCAAAAGTGGGAGTTCATCGTCCGTAGGGGAAACTTCAATTTTTGCATAGAAAATAAAAAATATTCCAGTAAATTCCGAGTAAGGCATGGGCAGTAAAAGTCGTAGTCTAAGAGGCAGAAAATGAATTTCTGGCTCGATAGTAGAAACCATGTTCTCTTTTTTTCCGAACGAAGTCATGCTGTTTGAGAAAACCCAGGATTCCCTCTGCGCGAGAAGAGTACGTAAAGGATCCTTATCGTCCAGTAAATTTCAGTTTCTCTTAGTCTCGTCTTTTCTGCTCGCAGTCGGAATCGGCTACTCCGTTCGAGAAAGGAATTTTTTTGCGTCTTCCCCCAAGGCACGAGGGTTTCTCGCCCTATTCAGGGATTCCTTCACTGCCATTCATAACTCAACGATGTCCTGTCTCGTCCTCTCTTCCCTCTCCCTTCCATAAGAGCGAACGTCAGACGCAACTGACCGATCCAAGTGCGGCCCTAACGTAACTTACCTGAGGTAAGTTACCTCTTAGTACCACCTCACTACATACTACCTCAAGCGGTCGTTCGTCAGCACCCTGACAATTTACATCCTCTATGTGAGGCAGGAAGTGCATCAGAGCAGTTCTCTTCCCAACGGGGAGAAGAAGCCATCATGTTCTTCATATCCCTAGTATTCGGCGGGACAAATATTACGAAAAGTCTTTCACTTTGAGAAGCAAACCTCCGATTCTCGTTTTATCAGATCATAATTATGGGAATTTCGGGGGTCAGTCAGAGTTCTCTACTAGTCGCATAACAAACTCGGGTCACTTCCACAAGATGTCACTACGGAAAGTCCTGCATTGTTATTATTATATTTATCTTACATTGAATTCCCCAGAAATACGATTTGCAACTCATTCCCGGAAATTAGCAATTTCTTAATGTTTGGAATTTTCCGGGGACTATTGGAAACAGGCTTTTCCCGCACGGACGAGAAAAAAGATTCGACCGAAGGTAGGGCTTTGTATATCCCTTAGGCTGTAATAGTCCAGGAGAAAAGAATAATGGATTTTTAAAACAATCTGCTGTTAAAACGCATTAAAATTTCCTAGAAGAGGCAGGAGTTCTTTCAGAGCATAATGTGAAATCGTGATTTACATGTTCTTAGTCGGAACCTTTTGCAAAGTAGAATCGGGAATTTCCGAAAATTCTTGAGAAACAGGGAGCATGCCATGAAAGTTTTCATGCGCTTCGTGCATCTCGGAATAGCATGCGACCGCGGAGGAGAAGTTGTAGGGAATGCTGCAGGAATACGGTATCAACAGTCAAATGTAGCAAGCGATTCAGTCCATATGTAGTGATTACAGAATCTGTATTCGAGTGAACGGGAGGGAGGCAAAACTCGTTACCGGTGCGTATTGGGCTCCGCCAGCATTGCGTTCTCTCCCCTATCCTGTTCCTCATGTATGTGGATAGGATCTGTTGGCAAAGCCCGAGTCCTATCGGTGGGATCGAGGTTAATATTGTATTTCTCTTCCCCGATGATGCTCTCCTCTTGGTCCGGTCTCGACAGGAACTTCAGAGCTCCATCGGTTCGCTCGGAATATACTGCGGTCGGAAAAAATAGAGCGTCCCCAAAGCGCAGGCTATGATCCTCTCGAGAAGTCCTGTACAGTGTGCTGTGCACAGTGGCGAATACAGGGGGGGGGGGGACTGACCCCCCTATGGCCAGGTTAGCATTTGATTTATTTATTCAAAATAGCATCTGCATTAAATTTTGTTGGAGCCAGTGAAATAGGTTCAGGTTCTTACCCAGACGAAAAATAGAAAAGGCGAAAGGACGAGGAATGGTGATAGGTGGGGGGTAGGAACTTTGAAATCGCCGCCCCTATGAAAAATTTATGTATCCTCCCCTGGCTGTGCATGTTAGGTGGTCTCCGCTGGAACAGGTGGAGATGCTTCAGTACCCCTGAAGATACGGAAACGAGATTGACAGCTGCGTATCCAGGACGAAGTCATACATGAACTCTAGCGCACCGTGGATGCTAAATCAGACATTTCAAAGGAGGCGAAACTCCTGGCCTCTAAGATTTTGATCTCCCAACCCCACCAACGGCCACAAACCATGAGTTATGACCAAAAGAATCAGATCGCGGATGCAAGCTGCCTCGATGAGGTCCTTTCGCCGTGTGGCCGGCGTTACGTGTCGTGAGGATGAGGAATGCCACCATCCGTGAGAACCTCCAGGTCGAGCTGCTAAGCGTTCGGATCGCGAATGATCTCAAGCTCATTGGTTTGGTCGCGTCTCCTGCATGCCCCCCCCCCCCCCCCCCCCCCCCCCCCCCCCCCCGCCCCCCCCCCCCCATTGGTTTGGTCGCGTCCCCGGCAGCCCCCCCCCCCCCCCCAGCCCCCCGGGGCTCCCAATGACCTGTAGACCAGTCAGTAGGACTCGTGTAAGGTGAATAGGCTGCAAGTATGGCAAAAAGAAGACCAGCAACTTCGAGTGCACCTAAGGATAGCTCAAATTACATCACCAACTTTTCTGAGGATGTGCCATGTCTAAATTTATTTTGAAACCAACAAGGCTGCCAAAACTAATTAATTCAAGTTAGAGTTATGAACGATACTCTACGGCAAGTCTAACATTTAAAATGGATAGTTCCTTCAAAAACCAAGAGAAATTTTGAATGAGCTTTGGAAAACTCTCTGGATTCATTGATTCATCTTTGAATTCATGGGGAATAAGCTCATGAAAACCATCTGCAAGAGACGACCAACTCAAAGAATGAATGTAATTTGTTTTCATGGGCACAGTGTCTCTCTCTCCCTCCCTTATCACCATGTGACAGGGCACAAAAGCGCGGAAAGAACGTTTCGATCGGCAGCAGCAAGACAAAGTTTAATTTAACTCATGCTTCACCTACCATATTTTCAATAAACAACATTTTTTAACTCATCTCTAGTTCTAATAAGATTTAAGGAAGTTAAATAAGAGACGCTATACATTCTCTCTTCAATTTGGCTGTCCACTCTCGACGGTGTAGGACGCACCCCATTTGTCTTTTTTTGTGGCCTCCTTCGTTTCTCCTTGACGCGTTCAGACAATAGAATTGTCAGCTAGACAAGACGAGATTGCTTTCTATGCACAGGTTTTCTTTTTTCTTCAGTCTCTCTCTCTCTCTCTCGTGGTTGCTGAAGTATGGTCGCTCAAAGAACACTGCGTACCAGTATGCCTTGGTTGATGTTGGCCAGGCGCTGTACGACGGACTAATACGCCTGCGACCAGGGACGGGCAAAAAGTGCGAACCAGTACCAGTACCAATACGTCTCCTGATGCGAATGGGTTAAATGGAAGAGGAGTTGGACGTGGTCCTGATGACCAGGAAGGACAGCGCTCGAATGTTTCCTCAACTCCTCTACAGGCATGAGCGATGGTCCATTCTCAATGTCTAACCTTTTTTTCGGTAATTGCTGACACTATTGCTTCGGCCCAAAAAGTTCTGATGACATTTTGAAACTCAATGGAAACATACTTGCTTATCCTTTGTGAATGTTTCGTGAAATTGACTCCTGTGTGAACGGAGACATTCAAGTCAATAGTCGTAGATCTCCTTTTCGTTATACACTGTATAACGCGAGGCTTCTCGGGAGATGCTCGATATTCCACCTGACAAGCTCGAGTCCTTTGCCCGAGATTGGGAATAGTGGAGGAAATCTCCTGGGCTTGCTCGAGCCGCGACCTCGTTTAATCCAGATGTGCCTGGAGTTCTGTATCCAGGATAGCGTGCAGAAATGCACATTAAAAACTCTCCAAAGGTTCACATTCCAGTTTTTACTCAGAATTATCTGGCCAGACATTAACACGTTTACGCCAGGCATTTAGTGTCTGGCCAGATAATATTGAGCAACATAACCGACATGTCAACCTTGGAATTATTTGTGCACATCTCTGCACACTCGCCTACACATAGGATGCCAGGCACATCTGGGTTAATGAACGAACGAGACGTTCTTAACTCTTTGCACTCCACTGTCGTGCGCCACGTGCCACCACGCGACATAAGCTTATGTCGCGTGGAGTGGAAAAGGAATAAGCTCACGGGGCTTGCCTACAGCAGCTCGTCAACTATTGCCAACTATTGGTACTTTTTGACAGCGCGTAGGATGCCAACCTGAATTTACCTACTGCTGATGCAGCTTTTCTGTTGAAAAAAAAAAAAACAAAAAAAAAAAACAAAACAAACAGAATAAATTCACACCAGTAACTGCATGTCTTTCTATTAAGCGATCGGTGAGATACTCCGTGAAGTCGACGCACCAAATTCACTGCAAGGATCAGGATCAGGACCGGGGCAAGTGGATTCTTCTCCCCCCCTCCCCTTAATTCGGCCATGATCAGTAATTCAGGTTCAATAATCAATCAATCGATCAATCAATCAATTCAGGTTCAGAATTTTGAGATACGATTTTCCATTGATTGATCGAGAGAGCAGGGAGCATGGCTTCACGATCTCGGTTGGATATCCCGGAAAATATCAAACTACGAGTAAATACAACGGCCTAATACTAGAGCTAAAAAAAGTATGGCTTCTGTTGAACAAAGTGTAAGACAAAAGTACTAATAAAGTTGTTTTTTTTTTTAAACAGGACTTAGTTGAATGGTCATCCATCTCTTAATTTACCTTCCTCTCCGAGACAAAATCACCTCCTCTTCAATGAAGAAACCAACAGACATCAATCGGTGATTGTTCCATGGTTCACACTCTTCTCAGTAATTGGAGAATCTTACTTCCCACTGTTGTTCTGTGGAGCAACTGTCACCATCTTCATTCTTTGTGCCGTCACATGCTTCACATGTTGGGTGTGGAAGCAGTTGATTTCCCATCGCCACAAGAATTGGAACTTACCGTATTTACTTGAGTATAGTGCGCCACCGTGTGCAAGACGCAACCCCACTTTTGAGGTCCCAATTCGTGTGAAAAAAAGATTCCCGTGTATAAGGTGCACATCTGTATTTCGTAGCAAAAAATGTCGGACAAGGGAGATGAGTAAGGAGTAAAGCCGATCGTGAGGTCGGTTGATCCTAGTTTCTCATTTACTGTCATGAGCTTTAATCACAGTCACATTAGTCACAGTAACATTTGTTTCACTATCTGTGAAAATGGATGGAAATGTACGGCAAAGTTACACAGCAGGAGAGAAATGATTCAGGAGACGGAGGAGTTGGTTGTCTGTGCAATAAGTCGTGAGTACCATAAGGAAGCGGATCAAGAAGGCGAAATCTGTCAATGTATCACGGAGACATGGCTACGACCAGACCATGGCCTATCCCTCTCCTCTAGCCCCCTAGATGATTACCATGCATATCACTACACTAAAAAGCAAAGGAAAGGCGGTGGAGTGAGCATATTCGTCAAGGACGAGATACCTTCCCTTATTCTCCCCATGGATGATACGGACGAATCCCTCGAGATAGTATGGGTACGGCTGCGACCACATTGGCTTCCTCGCAAAATCACAGCAATAATTGTTTGCGGAGTTTATTCTCCTCCCAGGAACCTTCTCCAAGATCTCTTGATTGACCACATAACGGCTAAGATTGACCATCTCCGCACTGAACATCCAGCTGACAAGTTCCTCCTACCTGGCGACTTTAACGACCTACCCCTCGAACCTGCCTTACCAACTGCGGCCTCGTGCAATTAGTGCAGTGCCCCACTCGCCTACACGCTACCCTCGACCTCATCTTCTCCGATCTACACGAATGGTATCGCGATCCCCTGTTACGCCCGCCGCTAGGCAACAGTGATCACTCCTCATTGTGGTTGACGCCCCAACGCTACATCCCGCCCCCTAAAACGACCAAGACCGTCCTGTCCCGGCGTTTTCCCGATTCTTCTATTCGAGCCTTTGGAGACTGGATCACGCACTACTCCTGGACTGAAGTCTTTGCAGCCCCTGACGCCAACTCTAAGGAACGGGTCTTCACCAGCAAGTTGCAACAACAAATTGACCACTTCTTTCCCCTCCGTAAGGTGCACTTAAGCTCTACTGATAAGCCCTGGATGAACGGCAACATTAAACGTCTTATCCGCCTCCGTCAGCAAATGTTCTACGCCGATCGACGTAAAGAACATCTCCACCTGGCCAACTTGATTAAGCGGAACATCCTCTCGGCCAAGCAGAAATT